ACCATTTCACAGCTCCTGACCCCCTCTAGTCCTAGGTAACCACTAATCTTTTTCATCTTGATACTTATTGCGGACATTTTATGTAAGTGAATTGTATAATATGTGGTCTTTTCATGACTGTCTTTCCCTTAGCATGTTTTCAATGTCCATCCTTGTTGTGGCTCATATCAGTACTTCATTCCTTTTTATGGCCAAAGAACATTCCATTGTTTGAATATCTAGAAATGGAATTTCTGAGTTATATGCAGACTCTGTTTAATTTCTTTTAAGAATTCTAATTTCTCCATATTCTAGCTAATTCTGTCTTTCTTGAGTGTTTGCTGCCTTATTACAATGGTATCTCATTGTAATTTTGATTTGCATTTCCCTGTTGGCTAATGATGTTGAATATCTTTCATGTGCTTATTGGCCATTTATATGTCCTTGCTTTAAGATTTTAAAATTTATTTGAAAGGCAAAGTGACAGAGAGGAAGAGACACAAAGAGATCTTCTATCTGCTGGTTCACTCCCCAGTGGCTGCAAAGAGCCGGAGCTGGGCCAGGCTCAAATCAGGAGCCTCGAACTCCATCCATGTCTCCCACTTGGGTGATAGGGGCCCAAGCACTTGGGTCATTTTCTGCTGCTTTCCTGGCGCATTAGTGGGAACTGAATTGGAGTGGAGCAGCCAGGACCAAATTGGTGCTCTCATATGGGATGCTGGTGTTGTTACAGGCAACAGCTTAACCTGCTGCCGCACAGTGCTGGCCCCTATTTGTCTATCTTCTTTGGAGAAATGTCTGTTCAGATTCTTTGCACTTTTTTAAATTGGGTAATTTGTCTTTTATATGTCCCATCACAATGTTGTGTATATATTCTGAATAGTAGACCCTTACCAGATCTATAATTTGCAAATATTTTCTACAGGACTTTTTCTTTCATGATAGTATCATTTGAAGCACTGAAGATTTAATTTTGATAAACTTGAGTTTATTTAGTTTTAGTTGGCTGTTTATACCTTTGGTGTCAAATCTAAGAAACCACTACTTATTCCAAGGTCATCATTTACTCCTATATTTTCTTAATTTTTTAAATAGTTTCAGCTCTTACATTTAGATCTATTTTGAGTTAATTTTTTAATCCGGCATGAAGTGTTAAGGTCCAATTTCTGTGCTTTGCGAGTTTCCATTTACCCCAGCATCATGTGTTTAAAAACACTATTCTTTCCCCGATTGAATTGTCTTGACACCTTTTTGGAAACAGTTGACTATAAATTTGAGGATTTATTTCTAGACTCTTGATTCTATCCCACTGATTATATTCTTAAAAATTGCTGTCAGAAGTCTCTGAGGTAGATGGTTTTTTCTGAGATGTGTTTCTCTTACTCGGGCTATGTTCTTATTTTCTGGGATCCTTGTAATAGTGATAGTTTTCTGGATGGCTGTTTACTTGGGAAAAGCTCTCAAGACCCATTTTTACACTTCTTAATTCTCTGCTAAGTTTGATGTTTCCTTTGCCTCACGGAGTTGTAAATGTCAAATTCTGTACTTGCCACTTTCTCTCTCTTCAGTCTTCCTGGCTTTCCTTGTAGCTGCTTGTTTTGAATTCCTATTTTCCTCCTTCATCCTGTTTTGAGCCTCCATGGAATTTGAGAATAAGTTGGTCAGTTGCACAGTTGCATGTCGTATTGTGGAGTTTCAGCAGTGCATGAACTTAGAACCAGAGTCCTGTTCTGATTGAATGTGTTCATAATTGACCAGCTTTCTGGCCTGTGGCCTGAAGGTACTGAGGCCAGCTGGCGCTTTCCTTGTGGCTTGCCTGCCGTGTTGGACCACACAGGTCCCTTTTCATCCCAGACTGTAAATCTTGAACGTTGGAAATGCTTTTGGTGGAACAGGAAAGTGGAAAATTGATTCTCCTTGATGCTTTACAAAGATTGACAGGAATAACCAGAATGTAGGTAATTCCATTTGTTTGTGTTTCCCAGTTGGTCAACTAGTCCAGGCATGTGTCCTTGTAAACTTCTAAAGCACAAAATTAACCTAGGCATCATTCAAATGCCCATTACTTATAGCTACTAACCTGTAGAACTGCTCTCAAAATACTGCTTTCCTATTGATGTAGCACAGTTACTATGTTCTAGTTCTTTGACACTCATTTCAGCTTGATGATAAACATGAAGTCTCTTAAAAATTTTTTTTAAAGATTTATTTATTTGAGAGGCAGAGGCAGAGAGAGAGAGGTCTTCTATCTGCTGGTTTACTTCCCAAATAGCCAGAGTTGAGCCGACCCAAAGCTAGGAGCCTGGAGCTTCTTCTGGGTCTCCCACGTGGGTGCAGGTGTCCAAGCACTTGGGCCGTCTTCTACTGCTTTCCCAGGCCACAGCAGAGAGCTGAATCGGAAGTAGAGCAGCCGGGTCTCGAACTGGTGCCCACCTGGGATGCCAGCCATGCAGAAGCGTGCTGGTTGCTGTCACTATCGGTGTGTGTCTCTCCTTGCTCTCCCCTCCCCCTGCATGCAGTTTTCCAGCCAAGCATTGTGATTGCTCTTGTGTCTTCTTCCAGGTTTCTCTCCCTACGGGTTAGTAAATGACAGGACTTAGCAAACATGCCAACAAACAGAAACTTTATTCTTCCATTGATTTAATAAATGTTCGTTGAAAGCCTCCTGTAAAACATTCACACTGATTGCTGCTGGCAATACGGAGTGGACGACACAGCCTCAGCCTCTGTCCAGGAACCAGGCATTATAGAATAATGTTACTTATAATTTTATAATCACATCAAAAATCAGTCTTACGTAAAACGTGTTACTGTGAGAACATAATAGCCATTCATTTGTTAAAACAAACCAAACTTAAGTGCCTGTCGTGTGACCCTTAACTTGGCAAAGGTCAAGGCCAGCTTCTGTAAGCAGGCAACTCTTTTTTAAAAAAAAAAAAAATTATTTATTTCAAGTCAAAGTTACACAGAGAGAGGAGAGGCAGAGAGAGAGAGAGAGAGTTCTTTTTCGGCTGATTCACTCCCCAATTGGCTGCAACGGCTGGAGCTGCACTGATCCGAAGCCAGGAGCCTCCTCTGGGTCTCCCACGCGGGTACAGGGGCCCAAGGACGTGGTCCACCTTCCACTGCTTTCCCAGGTCATAGCAGAGAGCTGGATCAGAAGTGGAGCAGCCAGGTCTTGAACCGGCGCCCATATGGGATGCCGGCACTGCAGGCCAGGGCATTTAACCTGCTATGCCACAGCGCCGGCCCCAAGCAGGCAACTCTTTAAAGCTGAGATCATAGAGAGGAATCCTAGGCTAACAGGCAGTGGAAAGACCTTGCAGGCCAAGCCAGTAGCTTGGTCCAGGGGGACCAAACGAAAGGTAGAGTGATGAGAAGCCAAGATGGCTCAGGACAAGATGAGAGACTGAGGTGGGCTGGGCAATGTGGGACTCTACAGGTTGTGTTGAGAGCTTTGCTTTCCATCCTGAGAGTGGAAAGAAACCATTAAAATGTGTTTTCATCAAAAGCTACCTTTTTTGTAACCTAAGAACTAGGTCTTAGAGGCAGGTTAACAATCAGATGTATTGACTTCTAGACAGAAAATATTAAATTTTAAAATTTGTTTTCTCTTGGTCGGCGCCACGGCTCACTTTTCTAATCTTCCGCCTGCAGCGCTGGCACCCCGGGTTCTAGTCCCGGTTGAGGCGCTGGTTCTGTCCTAGTTGCTCCTCTTCCAGTCCAGCTCTCTGATGTGGCCTGGGAAGGCAGTGGAGGATGGCCCAAGTCCTTGGGCCCTGTACCCACATGGGAGACCAAGAGGAAGCACCTGGCTCCTGGCTTCAGATCGGTGCAGGGCGCTGGCCGTAACTGCCATTTAGGGGTGAACCAACGGAAAGACCTTTCTCTCTGTCTCTCTGTCTCTCTCTCACTGTCTAACTCTGCCTGTCAAAAAAATATTGTTTTCTCTAGAGCAGTGCTTTTCTAACTTCATTGTATTTAAGAATTACTGGAAGGGCTTGTTAAAAACAGACTTCCAGGCCCTGTCTCCAGAGATTGTGAGAGTCTGGATGGGGCTCAAGAATTTGAATTTCTAGGTCCTGCATTGTGGCACAGTGGGTTAAGCCATTGCTTGCAATGCAGGATCCTGTGTCTGAGTGCTGGTTTGAGTCCCAGCTGCTCTGTTCTGGTCTAGTTTCCTGCTAATGAACCTAGGGAGGCAGTGAAAGATGGCCCAAGTACTTGGGACCCTGACACCTGTATGGTAGACCATGAGGGAGTTACTGGCTCCTGGTTGCATCCTGCTGATCCTTGGCTGTTGTGGCCATCTGGGGAGGGAACTGACAAATGGAAGATCTTTCCCTGTCCCTCCTTCTTTCTCATTCACTCTGCTCCTCAAATAAGTAAATCAATAACAACAATTAAATTTTTTTGGGCCGGCGCCGCAGCTGACTAGGCTAATCTTCCGCCTTGTGGCACTGGCACACTGGGTTCTAGTCCCAGTTGGGGCGCCGGATTCTGTCCCGGTTGCCCCTCTTCCAGGCCAGCTCTCTGCTGTGGCCAGGGAGTGCAGTGGAGGATGGCCCAAGTGCTTGGGCCCTGCACCCCATGGGAGACCAGGGCTCCTGCCATCAGATCAGCATGAAAAAAAAAAATTTTAAGAAAAAATTTAAATTTCTAGTAAGTTCCTGGAAGATGGTGCTGCCACTGGTCCTATGCAGAGAGTAGATTCTGTGTAGCATTTGGAGCCACAGAATCAACACCTATTTTTACAGAAGCCACTACCAGGCCTTCCTTGTCTGTGTATGTTCTGTGTATGTGGTATGTGACTTCCTCAGGTGACATGGTAGTCCAGGCGTGTTGAAGAGACATAGTGCCACAAATCAAGATAGTTAAAATTAGAAAGCTTGATTAACAAAAAATGCTGTTTGGAGTTTTTGAAATTTAGGGTAATACATTTTGGGATTCTGAGACATTTGGTGTTTAGCAAGAGTGAATTTGTGCGTTACTGAATTAGTGTTTTGTTTTTGTTTTTCTAGATCTAATTACTTGTTTGGACACTGCATCCAATTTTTTGGAGCCTGAGTTCAGGTATGAGCATATTTTTGCCTCCTCTCCCATTTTGCTTAAATACTATTCATATTCATTCTGTATCTACTTAGGATTATTGTGTAATATATGACACATAATTATTCCATGACTCAAATAGTTTATTTAAAATCATTTAATTATTGCCATATTTAAATTTTTCTATAATTGTAACACTTAGATCTTCAAAGTATAATTTTAATATGCTTCAATATATGCTGCTAGCTAACAAATAGAAAAGCTGTCTTTCTAGAAAAATGAAAATGGAAGGTTTAGGCTATTATGGGATTCTTAGGTATTCTTTCCCAAGTAGCATTTCTACTGTCTGTCTGCTTTATGGCTTTGTCGCTTGCCTGGACTAGGATTAGCTTCTAGTTGATGTCCCATTTCTGATCTCTTCTAACTTTGTTCTGCCACTCACACCTCTGCCAAATTGTTTTCAGAACTAGATATGCAAACATTTCCCTGCTGATACATCTTAGGAACTCCTTATGGTCATAAAAAGTTGCCCACTCTTCAGTGTGGTCTTCAGAGTCCTTCACGAGGAGTCCTTGGACCATTCTTCCAGTCTTGTTTCATCTACTCCATGTTGAAATGATTCTGGATTATTTACCCTGCTCTGAGCTCTGAACTTTCCTGGAATTTTTCTCCTCTTGGCAAAATCATTCTCATGTTTCAGCCTCCTCTCAGCTTGTTTCTCCTCCCCACAGATGCTCGGTTTTGTCTTTAAGAATGGTTCTGTCTGTGGCAAGTGTTCCCTCTCTTGCATTTGATAGGTGCTTTGCTCAGCAAGGATAACCCTGCTGGAGGATCCAGCCTCCTCACCCTCCTTTCTGGACTCCATCATCACCCAAATCCGATCTGTATCTGCTTAACTGTCGCAGCTTCTGCTCATGATTCCTCACCTTCTCTTGTTTCCCAGGAGCCAGAATAACCTTTATTAGAAATATGAAGAGGGGTGAGGGGAGCCGGCACCGTGATGTAGTGGTTGAACCTCTGCTTGTAGTGGTGGCATCCCATATGGGCACAGGTTTGGATTCTGGATGTTCTGTTTCTGATTTGGATCTCTGCTGGTATGCCTGGGAAAGCAGCAGAGGATGGCCCAGGGCCTTGGATAACCTGGAGGAGGCTCCTGACTCCTGGCTTTGGATCTGCCCAGCCCAGGCCTTTGTGGCCACTTGGGGAGTCGACCAGCAGATGGAAGATTCTCTTTCCCTCTCTCCCCTCCTCTCCCTGCCACAACCCACCTCACCCCCTCCCTCCCCACTCAACCTCTCTCCCCTCTCTCCCCCTCTGCCTCTGCCTTTCAAATAGATGGATAAATCTTTAAAAAAAAAAAAAAAAGGAATTGAATTATGTAAACTGTCAAAATCTCTTCCTCTTTTTACTTGGAAATATATTCTAGACTCGATGCCATTGTCTGTGTGATCTGGCCCCTGTGTACCCTCTTGCTCCTCTCCCTTTGCTCGCTGTAGTCTGGCCTCTGCAGTGAGCGCCTGCACTCACAGAGCAGGCTGTTGTGCTGCAGGGCGTGCCCTTCCTAGTGATTGCTGCACGTTCCTCTGCTTGTTCAGTGTGCCCTCAACACACTGCTGGGCTTCCCTACCTCACAGCCCCATCCCCTGGCTGAGGCAGTCCAGAGCCCTGCTTTGTAGGAGCACAGACTCTGGAGCCCTCCCACTGCTTGCCAGCTGTGTGCCCTGGGCACACGATTCCTCAGTTTGCTTATCTGTAAAGAGAAGATGGTAACAGTACCTAGCATATAGGGTTCTTGTGGCTTTCCTGAAGCCCTTAGGATGCTGCCTGGCACACAATAAGCCTACTAAGTGTTTATATTAACTTTTATTAGGTTAGATCTTTCCCAGTTATTTCACAGTGCCTTTTCTTCATCATAGAGCTGAAATATAATTATTTATGGAAGTATTGGTTTAATGTCTCTTCCACCACTGGAATGTAAATTCAGCGAGGGCAGGGGCTACGTTTGTTTGGTTGACCTTTGCAAACCCAGTGTCCACACAGCCCAGCACTCAGCAGACAACATAATAAAACATTCTAGTACAGTGCTGCACTGCATAGTAGCGTTTCCATCAATATATACCACAGGAGTCCCTTGAGATCGTAACAGACCTGAAACAGTCCTATCACCTAGTGAACTCGGGGCTGCGGAAGAAGCAAGAGAAAGACACTGCAGGAGAAGAAAAAGAGGAAGAACTGCTAGAAAATTCAGTGAGGAGTTCAGCAGAAGCTTCCGTAGACATCGACAGGCTTCTTACAGAGTTCAGAACATACACCAGCATGTGGAAGGTTTTCCTTAGCAGAGAGGAATTTTTGTGGTGCTATATCTACTTAGAAGGAAATCTGTGATGAAAAAAGAAACACACCAAGCAAACCACCGTGGACACATTTCTGAAAAGAGTGGCACGTCCTAGGAAGAGCCCTGGGCAGATCCTGTGTGGGGTGTTCAGAAGAGTCCTGTGGTCACGGGAGGTGACGTCTCCAGGCATGCCACTGCCCCGGAGACCTAGCGGAATGAGGTGCGGGAGCAGAAGTGACACTGACGATCTTCATCCTGTGCAGGCTGAGACTAATGTAGGGGCTTGAATGTTAGTTCTTAGAAAAAAAAAATTAGAAAGTTAAAAACAAATAGAAAAAAGCTTATAGGGTAAGGATATAAAAATATTTCTGTAGATCTGTACAGTGTGCTAATATTTTAAGCTGGGTGTTACTACAAAAGAGTCTCAAAGTTCAAACAGTTTAAAAGTTTTGTAAGGTGAGAAAGTGACATTAAACATTTGAACAGATTCAGTGTAGCCTGAGTGTACATTGTTGATGAAGTCTGCGGCCATGTCCAGTAATGCCCTAGGCCTCACATTCATTCACCACTCGCTCACCCAGATCAGCTTCCAGTACTGCAACTCCCTTCCGGGGAATTCCTCTCTACCGGTGGACTATGTTAAAAGCCTTTAAAAAAAAATTATTTGTTTTACTTGAAGAGAGAGAAGCAGAGGCAGAGAGAGAAGATCTTCCAAATGCTGTTTCACTCCCCAATTGGTTGCAATGGCGGAGCTGTGCCAATCCAAAGCCAGGAGCTTCCTCTAGGTCTTCCCACGTGGGTGCAGGAGCCCAAGGACTTGGGCCATCTTCTGCTGCCTTCCCAAGCCATAGCAGAGAGCTGGATCGGAAGTGGAGCAGCCAGGACTTTAACCAGCGCCCACATGGGATGCTGGCACTGCAGGCGTTGGCTTTACCTGTTACCCCACAGCAGCACCAGCCCCTAAAAATCTTTTTATACTGTGTTTCTCCTGCCTCTCTTCTGTGCTGAGATACAGAAACTAACCATTGCATTATAGTTGCCTACAGTGTTCAGTGCAGTAATATACTGTACAGGTTGGTAGCCTAGGAGCAATACATTATACCTTTTAGCTCTAGTGTTAAGTCTCCTATGCCATCTGGGTTTGTGTAGTACACTCAATGATGTCCACACAGTGATGAAATTGTCTAAGGATTAATTTCTGGGAATATATCTCCCTTGTTAAGAGACACAAAAACATGACTTTGTGTTGAGTAGATGAGTGAGTGAATGAATAAAGGAATGAATGCCAGTCTTTTAATGCAACTGCAATCTGATCAATAGCAGGTTGGTAGAACGCACTATCATTTATTCACAAAGTAGACTATCACACAGCTATTAAATATAACAAATAGCTCTCACATTGTTTATCCAAAAATGGAATATCATGTAGCTATTAGGTATAATGAATAGATGATCTTAAAGTGGAAATATGTCTACCATTCATTGTGAAGTAAAACAATTTGTAGAATATGAGAAAAATTTTGTAAATAACATGGGTGAAGAAGTGTTATTATACAGCATGTATAATGATAATAATGTCTTTTAGTCTAGATTCACCCCAAAGCAAAAGTTGTAAGAGTTTAGGAGTCAGTGTTTTTCACAAAAAGAAATAAGTACACATTATTTTATATGGACTGTGTTCACAGTCATATTTGAAACTGGATACTAGGGAATGAGCATTTAACCTAATGATCAAAATGCCTGTGTCCCATAGTATTGTACCTGGGTTCAGTTCCCAACTCTAGCCCCTGACTCGAGCTTTCTACTGTTGCAGACCCTGGGGAGGCAACAGTGATGGTTCATGTAATTGGGTCTCTGCCACCACATGGAAGACTTGTGTTGCCTTTGTGCTTATATTTGGAGCAATAGAAAAATATCTGAAAAGTCTTTTTAGGAGTGTTAGTTACTGGGATTGGTGCTGTGGCATAGTAGGTTAAGTCTCTATCTGCGGTGCTGGCATCCCATATGGGTGCTGGTTCAAGTCATCTCCACTTCTGATCCAGCTACCTGCTGATGGCCTGGGAAAGCAGTGGAGGATGGCCCAAGTGCTTGGGCGCTGCACCCATGCAGGAGACCTGGAAGAAACTCCTGGTTCCTGGCTTCAGATCACCCAGCCCCAGGCATTGCAGCCATTGGGAAGTGAACCAGTGGATGGAAGACCTCTTTCTCTGTCTCTCCTTCTCTCTGTAGCTCTGCCTCTCAAACAAATCTTAAAAACAAACAAAAAAAGAGTTATTTCAGGGTTGTAGTACTATAGTATTTGCACTGAACTGAGAAATACATATGGATGTGTCTTGATGTTTTTCCCTAGAAAGTACACTCTAATATAACCTTTCACTTGTTTTCATTCAACAGCAAGTACTGCCCAGCTGGTTGTCTGCTTCCTTTTGCTGAGATATCTGGAACAATCCCTCATGGATACAGAGATGTGAGTTGCAGATAGACTTATTCTAACGTTGTATCTTAAAAGTAAACTCCAGAACAGTGAGATATGTGTCTATTGTATATATATAATATTTAGAAATTATTTCTTTTTAGCAACATGTAATGTTTTATTCTTTCTCTTCTACTAAAATTCTGTTCTGTTAGAGCACCAGTACTATATATTTATGAGAAAACTGCCGAATCCACAGATTTCTTGAGGAAAGTAGAAGTATTTTCTTTTTTAATTAGGCAAAGATAATTAAAACCTAATCTTTTGTTTTTCCCTTCCCCAAGTCCTCGCCACTGTGCATGGCTGGTGTGCATGCAGGAGTAGTGTCAAATATTTTGGGCGGCCAAATCAGCGTGGTAATCAGCAAAGGTATCCCGTACTATGAAAGTTCTCTGGCTAACAATGTCACATCTGTGGTGTAAGTACCTTTGCTGTTTCCAGTAAGCATGCTGAATAGGAGTGGGCTAGGGACTGACTGGATCTCAGAAGTGTCGCTGTTAATGGGGCTCAGGGAAAAACCTTTATGCAAAAAGCATTCAGATTGGTGTGTGCTCAATATCTGAGTAGTTTGAAGTGTACAGGCAATGTTGTACTAATTTTTAGTTCTGCCTCAAAAAAAGATAGTCATTTGAAAGGGTGGTTTGTTTTTTTTCTAAGTGTTGGAAACTCTGGAGTAAGAGTCTGAAAGTTTTCTGCTGCATCCCATTTTATTTTAAAGATCAGAAGCTGTAAGTGCCCTGTTCCTTATAGCCCATGTAGTCCAGGATGGATTGAGGATAATTGAACTATTTTGAATTATAAACTAAATGTTGACATAAAACAGGTAATATTACTATGAATCTCTCTCTCATTCTGGAAGAATGTTTTAAGAAGCTATTTTCATGGTATCTACAGTGTTCTTCTTTACAAAACAAGGACCAGACATCAAAAGCGAAAGTTGAAACATTAACTAGAAATGCAGTATTAGCTAAGAGATGTTTAAAAACTCTGCATCTTAGGTATACTTCCTCCTGTGAACAGTTCTAGGCTTCAGAGAAACCAGCCTCCCTCCGGGGGCCCTCGGCCAGTTTTCACTCAGAACGCGAGTGCGGGTCCACGAGCCAGACTTTCTAGAGCGGGAGGCAGCAAACACTTCCTGTGAAGATCCACCTAGGGAGTACTGCAGGCTCCCTGGGCCACATGGTTCTGTCCCTCTCTTTGTGTTGTACTTACAGCTCCTTGACCATGCAAAAATCACGCTCGGCTCACTGGCTGTGCAGAACTGGCCTTGTGCCTGGGCTGCTGTTCACCCTTCCCTAGCACTGAGCCAGCTACCTTTCCTTCATTGGGTTCCTTCTCTGTGCTTTACGCAGATGCTGTCATTTCTTTCCCCTTCCCTGCCTTTGGAAAGAGTCTGTGGAGGGCGTATGAATTCTGCCTTTCATACTTGAAAAAAAATAAGCACAGGATGTAATAGTTTGAATGCTGTGTAGAGGCCGAAGATTGAACTAGAGGTTTTATTCCTGCAAGTTCAAAGGAGTCCTTTGGCCTGCCATCTGGTGAAGTCTTCACTTGTCTCACTGGTCCATTCTCAGCTCGCCTATTCTGTCTACTGCTTGGAAATGCAAATGCAATGCTGGGTTCTAATATTAAAGGTCATTCTCAGACATGTTGGTTTCCCCTTTTTTAAAAATAGTGCAGTCTGTTAGTAGCCAATTTTTTTTTTATGTTTACCCCAGGAAGCTTGAGCCTCATTCTCTGAGAGTTTTATACCATTTAGTGTACTTGAACAAAAAGCAAAAGTTTGAGTCAATACATTTCATGAAAAATAAATAAGTACATATTATTGTGTATGGATGTATTGACACAGTCATGTATGGAACTGGGGACTAGGGAGCAAGCTTTCAGCCTAGTGGTTAAGATTCCTGCCTACAACTCTTGACTCCAGCTTCCTGCTGATGCAGACCCTAGGAGGCGTTCGTGGTTGCTCAAGTCATTGGGTCCCTGGCACCAATTGGGGAGACCTTGATTGTAATCCTGGCTCCCAGCTTCAGCCGTAGCCCAACTCCATCTCTTTCAGGCAGGAGTAAACCCCCTAGATGGGAGCAAGGTCTGCCTCTCCACCCCACCGTTTTGTTTTTGTCTGTCTCTCATGCCTCTCAAGTTTTAAAAAGGAGAAAGAAACTGGATACTAGATGTTTATAGAAAAAATTGTTTATGCAGATTTCAAAACTTGCTTTGCTTAGAAATGAGACTTTTTTCCTAGAAACAATACTAGTTGCCTAATTTTTAGTCATGGAATCACACTAGGTCTTTAAATGGTACAGAAAAAAGCAAAAACTTTCCCCATGGTTTTAGTCTTAATGAGGTTGGAGAAGTCATGTGTTAAGTGTGTGTCACCAAAAACAAACAAATAAACAAAAAAAACAATAAACACTTCTCTCTCTTTCAGAGGACACTTATCTACAAGTCTTTTTACATTTAAGACAAGTGGTAAGTTTTTTGTGGACTTTATAACTTAATGTAGTTTGTTAAATTGATAATTGTTATACACTCTATAGCAGGCACTGTATCAATTACTGACTTTTTGTACTTTTGCACTTAAACATCATAGTAGCACAAAGTGGTACCTATTAAAATGATAGAGGCTGGTGGTATGGTGCCATGATTTAAACTGCTTATTGAGACATTAGCATCTCCCAACAACAATTAGAGTCCCATCTGCTCTGGTACTGATCCAGGTCCCTGCTATTGTGGGAAGGCAGTGGGAGTTGGCCCAAGTACTTGGGCCCCTGCCACCTATGCGGGAGATCTGGATGGAGACCTGTGTTCCCCGCTTGGGCCAGGCCCTGTTGGGCTATTGCCTCCATTTGAGGAGTGAACCAGCAGATAGAAGATTCTCTCCCCCACCCCCCTCTCTCTCTCACTTTGCCTTTCAAATAAATAAATAAATCATAAAAAAAGAATAAATTGGGAGTTTCATACTAATATAGATAGATTACGTAAGCAAGCAAGGTTCCTTAGAAAAGATGACTGATAGGAAGAAGTAACTGAACAGAAAATATTTATTGAGTAACTTCTCTTACTTGCTTAGGCGCTGTTCTGGTGCTCGTGACTCGATAGTGAACAATATAACTCCTTCCTTCCTGGAACTTACCTTTTGGTAGTGAGAGTGACAAACAATGAGTAAATAAATTGTTGTCTATAGTACACTGTTCTCAGCATGTTAAGAAGATGTAGGGGAATAGGCAAGGAAGGAAGACAGGGCGTGCAGGGAGACTGGGTTGAAGTTTAAGTAGGATCTGGAAAAACCTCATAGAGAAGTTAACAAATAAACAAACCCTGGAAGAGATAAAAGAGTAACTCCTTACCCCACTTACCTGGAAAGAGTGTCCCAGGGAGAGGATCTTATACCTGTAGTAAATTAAAAGTTATTGCTCATTTGCTCATTGGTGAATGTTTACAGGTTTCCTAATGATACACAAAAACATAACGTCCAAGAAACACTGTCCTGGTATTGAAATTTCTATTACAGTGTTTTACTAGCACAGCGCATATTAATTAAAGATGCAGTAGAAAGCTTGCAAGGAGCAAGTCCATTAAGTTTTGAATTTATATCTAGAAACCAAGTTTACTTTCTGCTTTGTTTCAGGTTGTTATGGCACACTGGGCATGGAATCTGGTGTGATCGCTGATCCCCAAGTAACAGCCTCGTCTGTGCTGGAGTGGACTGACCACACAGGGCAGGAGAACAGCTGGAAACCTGAAAAGGCCAGGCTGAAGAAACCTGGACCCCCTTGGGCTGCTTTTGCCACTGATGAATATCAGTGGTTACAAGTAGATCTGAATAAGGAAAAGAAGATAACAGGTTAAGAAACAGTTTCCTGGAACCATTTCTGATACTCTTATTACTCGCAAACCTGTTGACATCTAAGATTTTCATGGAAAATTCAATTACATGGTTTCCAATTTTATTGCTTGGTGTTATCACTGGAGAAAGTTTTATAAAGCATGGCAGAGGAAAGTAGTTTTTCACTTTCATTCTTTCAAGGGTGTGTTTCAGTGAAAAGTGGTCTTGAAACACACGGGATAACCATCTCTTAGAGTCATTGAAATTTATGTTCATGGGGTCCATTTTAAGTGCTATAAATAACTAATTCTCCACATGTGCTGAGCATAAATTTAATTTAGGGAAACGTAGCAAATGGTGTGAATAACTGGTTGGGAATGGTTTTGTTAAAAGATTTATTTTGCTTTGGTACTGAAAATAATACCAATAATCATCTTTAATCTTTGACTCCCAGAAATTTATTCTTAGGAATTAAAATATATTTTATAGTGATATGAACACAAGTTGCCAGAACACAATAGTGCTTTCCTTATGTGCACCCGTACCTCTTTCCATCTCTACAAGAACACAAAGCCATGATGGTGAAAACTTGCACATAGGTGCGGACATGAGCTGCTGGCAGAAATGTCTGAACAATGCCCCTCAGGTGTTTATGCTTGGCTGCTGAGTTAGCCCATGTGTTCTGATGAGAACAACTCTTCATTCCCAGGCATTATAACCACTGGATCTACTATGGTGGAGCACAATTACTATGTGTCTGCCTATAAAATTCTGTACAGCGATGATGGGCAGAAATGGACTGTGTATAGAGAGCCTGGTGTGGAACAGGATAAGGTAAATGATTATCAAGGTGTTTTTTAAAAAGTATGTTCAAAAATGAATCCTTGCCAAAAGTGTAAAGGTGTGTGAAAATTCAGTACAGCTTTTGTCTTACACTGCCCTCTTCTGGTTGTTTTTGGTAGCGTTAGTTAATTATAAAAGTGGTCTAAAACTCTATCTGTTTTGGTGCTTGTTAGCAAAAAGCTCTGAACATGCTAGAATGAGCCAGACTTGCCAGTAAGGGGTGGATGATAGCGGAGTGAATTTCATCCATTTGTTTATTCCATTCACCCAGGCTCCTGGTCCATGACCCGCCACAAGGATCTTTAAATGGAGAAGTCCCTGTCCCTAAGGAGAATAGATTGAAACTATGAACACATTTTTTTCCATGAGTTTGCCATATGATTTTGGCTTCAATTATATAATATTTTCATTTTATATCATCCATATGATTTGCTAATATATCTTCAATTACCACTTTTATCATCTACTTCAGAAATCTCCAGGGACTCCATTTCATAGAGCTCTAAGTACTTACTCAGGGCCTTCTTTTCTGTCTTCTACTTGATATCACATTAACTTTGTCTTTGACGAACCCTCTGCCTGTTGAAGTGAACAGCACACTGTCACCATCCTCTGCTTAATGCCCCAAACCTGACCACTCTACTCCTGGTACATCTGTTTCTTCAGTACCATTTATTATACTTGTAAAATAGAATTACCTATGTCTATATTTTTTAAAGATTTTATTTATTTGAAAGGAAGTGTTACAGAGAAGCAGAAGCAAAGGGAGATGTCTTCCATCCACTGGGTCACAACTCAGATGGCTGCAATGACTGGAGCTACACCAGTCCAAAGCCAGGAGCCAGGCACCTCCTCCAGGTCTCCCACATGGGTTCAGGGGCCCAAGGACTTGGACCATCTTGTACTGCTTTACCAGGCCATAGCAGAGAGCTGTATCAGAATTGGAGTAGCCTGGTCTCGTACTAGTGCCTATATGGGATGCCCGCACTGCAAGTGGCAGCTTTACCCACTATGCCACAGCGCCGGCTCCAATGCCTATATTATATAGATTTCTAACAGCATTGAATTATATTTCTGAAAAAGACCTTTTTACCTTCATTTTTGAAAGATAATTTCACTGGGTATAGAATTCTAGGTTGACTATTTTTTCTTTCAATACATTAAATATATTGATCCATTGTTTTCTGCCTTGCATTGGTGAAAATTCTGCCATTCTTATCCTTAATTCTGTTCCCTGATAATTTATTTTTTTTCTTTGCTTATGAGATTTTTTTATTGTTTATTTTAAGTAGTTTGATTATGATGATGTGTTTTTCTATAGTTTTCTTCATGTTTCTTCTGCTTTGGGCTCTTTGAGCTTCTTTCTTCATCAAATTTAAAAAAGTATTGGCTTGGGGCCAGCGCTGTGGCATACTTAATGGGTAAAGCTGCCTCCCATGATCCCATATGGGCACCAGTTCAAGTCCCAGGTGCTCCACTGCCTATCCTGCTTCCTGCTAATGGTCTGGATAAAAACAGTAGAAGATGGTGCAAATGCTGTGCCCCACAACCCACATGGGAGACCTGGATGAGGCTCCTGCCTGGCCCAGCGCTACTTGTTGCGGCTGGCTGGGGAGTGAACCAGCAAATGGAAGATTCTCATTCATTCTCTCTCTCTCTCTCTCTCTCTCCATGTGTTCTCTCTCTCCATGTGTTGTTCTATCTCCGTATGTTGTTCTCTCTATCTCCATGTGTTCTCTCTCTCTCTCCATGTGGTGTTCTCTCTCTCTCTCTCTCTCCGTGTGTGTGTCTCCCTCTCTCTTTGTAACTGACATTCAGAATCAGTCTTCTAAAAAAGTAGACTTTTTCCTTTAAATGTTGCCCCTTCCAAACCTAACTTTATAAATATTGTCCTTGAAGATGTCTCAACATTTCAGATGCTCTTACCTTTTTTTCCTTCAGTATTTTCACTCTTTGTTTTAGTTGAACAGTTCTGTGTTTTTTTGGTTTGTTTTCAATATTCTGTGATGTCTAATCAGCTTGTTAATATTATGAGTATATTTTTATCCTAGGTGTTATGCTTTTCCCCTTTAGATTTTCATATTTGAACATGCCTTCTATGTCTCCTCTTTACAAGCTTTTTTTCTGTTGCTGAAAAAATACTGAATACAGCTTTTTTAAATGTCCTTACCTACCAATTTTTATCATCTCTGTTGTATCTGGGACTTTGCTTATTGGTTGATAATGAGTCGTATTTTGTATGCCTGGTAACTTTTGATTGGATACCAAATATTGTAGATTGTACAGACTTGGTACTGGGTTTTTATTGTTTCCTTAGATGTCTTTGAGCTTTCATCTGGGATGCTTTTAAGCTGTTTGGAAACAATTTTATGTTTTCAAGGCTTGCTTTCAAGCATTGTTAGGTCCTGAGCAAGCTTTCATTCTAATTTTTCCCCACCACTGAACCCTTTCTCTTCTAAACACTCAACCTAGTGTCCCATGTATTATGAGGATTTCCCGTTCTGTCTGTTAGTGATGTGAAGTGTTCCTAAGTCCTGTGTTGCTCCAAGAATTGTTCTGTTGGCTCCTTCCAGTGGTTCTTTTCCTGATAAGTTGTTTTCTTTACATGCACTTGAAGACTTAAGGAGAAACTTCTTATCCTGGAATTACCTGTTTCTCTTCACTCCTAAGTCCTGCCTTACAAATTCTAGATGCCTCTTTGGCCTTTCGATCTCTGGTCTGTGTCTCCTCCACTCAATGAGACCACGAGGCTTTGTCTGGGGACCCCCTCCTCACACTGTGATCTGCCCACTCTCTCCAGGTTGTGCTGGAGCTATATAGTAAGGCCAACCTCATGTGGTCCCTTGTTTCACTGATGATTGCCCTATACTTTGAGTTGTCTATTCTCTGAGAACCATTGTGTCATAGATTTTATCCAGCTTTTCAGATATTTAAGGCTACAAGATAAGTTCAGTCCCTGTTAATGGGCAGAAAGTCCTGATATTGAATTATATGAAATCATAATTATGTGAAATAATCTTCCCTCACTTAACATTTATCCATCTGCTCTGTTACTTACCCCTAACTTTAGTAACTGGTGAATTCATTTTCACAGCTTTTCTAAGCTTGCACATGGATGTGTGTGTACACATATGTACAAATGGAGACTTTTAAATAGTTTTGTTTTTAGAATATTCATATATACATTTATATATGTTCATGTATATATGGAAAGCAAGTTAAATCTATGTCTATATATATAAATCTATAGATAGATTTTGATTGATTTAACTTGTTCCTAATATGTCTTTCTAATATTATGCCTTATTTGTGTGTGCTGATATCCAATTGAATTTAAGTTCCTTGAAAGTTGGGATTGACTTACATGTCCATTTTTATACTCATGACACCTTGCAAACCTCTCTGTATACAGGTGTGGCTCAACTATGACAAATGTTTTTCACTCAGTTTTAGTAGTCTTTATAGGAAGACCTTAGTAATAGTTTTTTTTAAAGTCCTAAAATGATATTTCACTATTGTTTCTGTTCTATTAATATAATAGAACCACAAAAATACGTTTATTTAATTTCAGAGTAATATCTTAAAAACCAGGGAAGCTTGTTAGTGTGGAAATTTTTATAACTTCAAAGCATAACTTTAAGAATGTGAAGGATATTAACACATCTTTAGTGGTTTATAACCTAATGCCACATGAATCAACCACGAAGAAGTAACCATAAAATTTGAAGATAACTTGATTAAGGAATTAAACATTTAATTGTTCTCAGCTGATTTTTATTTTAAAAAAAACCTACTTTGATTTTAGGCAAGTATCTACTTATAAATAGTCTTTAGAAGCTGGTTGATTTGGACTGAGAGAACAAGTAGGGCACTCTGGCTGTCTGGAGTACTGTACTTAAGCCAGCAGGCCCAGATTCAAGTCACTCACATCATCAACTAGCTGTGTATTTTCTGAGTCACAGCTTCCTGTGCCCTGCCCATGTTGTCATCAGGAGCATCTGACTTAATTACATAAAAATGCTTTGCAAATAATTGAGCTAGTCTAGTGTAAGATATTATTGTTTGCTTGAAATAGTTGGAGGAAGGAAATAATTTAAGGAATGAGGTAGGTAGTCACTTGAAATATAGTTTTACCCAAGGTTTATTGTTTGTTGTATGTAGTTATGAACATTACTAGGCACAGGGCAGTGTTTCAAAGTCTCTCTTCTAGCTTATAAAGCTGTATAGTTATGCATACATTGTTACAGACTTACTTCTAAGGGTACAATTTAAAAACTTGCCATGGGACCCCAAAATCCCATTAAGCTGGGTGGTAAAAATGCCATCTTAAGTGTTAAAATGATCATATTAATGTTAAAGTGAACATATAGGATTAAATGTTAGAGTGATCATATAAATAGGTCAAGTGTCTGGTAATAACAATGGATAGAATTAAAAAGGAGAGAATGTTCCAACATGGGAAGCAGTTCACAAGGCAGACTCATAGAATGACAGTCGCTTTAAGTAACACTCTGACCTTGGAATCTGTCCTTTAAGGCATCCTGGTGTGGCTGAAAAGCCCATGGGAGCATCTCAGGCATGGAAAGCCAAGACACTGTGGCAAAAAATGTTCTACATGAAGGATCTCTGTGAGACCCAGCAAAAGGAAGTGGCCATCAAAGGATGTACTTTTCTTTGAAGGGAGGAGAGAACTTTCACTTTGCTTATGGCCTTATCTAAATACTGACAGAGTTCATGGATTCAAAAGGCTTCCATAGCCTAGGCAGCTCATGTCACGAGCCTTGGGTGGTCACTGAAGTCACACATAAGAGTGTTAATTGTTAAATTAACAACAGGAGTCACTGTGCATTTACTTCCCATGCAGGACTTCTGTCCTCAGTGAGTTGTATTATGAGAGTTAACAGTAAAACTGGTGCTCAGGTGTGTGTGTGTATGTGTGTGTAAATTGTTAATCTTTACTTCGTATAGAGTTGGTCTTCTGTGTACAAAGTTAATTGAAAATGAATCTTAATGGAGAATGAGTCAGACTGTGAAGGAGAGAGAAGGAAGAGGGATGGGAGGGTGGGTATGGTGGGAAGAATCACCATATTCCTCAAGTTGTACTTAAAAAATTTGTATTCCTTAAATAAAAGGTTTCTTTGCGGGGGAAAACTTAAACAGTCTCTGTTCTGATTTACACAGCAACAATTAGAGAACATGGAGATTTGTAATGTGGGGACTGTCTCATGCAGTTTATCCAGTAGGTGGAGACATGTATCTGTTATGTGTTGTTTAGTATATGTTCACTTTCTGTCTTTATTGAAAAAACTATGAAAAGTAAATGAGCAAAGCATTTTCTCTAAGACTTTGTATGATGAAGCGTGTTTCACTTTGAAAATAAAATGAATACATCAAAGTAGTTTGTCAATTCCACAAGACTAGAGTTAATTTATAAATACAGTAAACTCTCACTGCAGTTGAAATCTTTTTCCCAGATGGCTAAGTTAGCACTCTTGATAAATTCTTAAATAATCAACATTTCTATACTCAGGATTTTCCTTTTATAAAGTTTTAATAAAGAATATACAGTTTCTTAATAGCTTTTCCCAGTTGTGATTAATATTTCTTAGAAATTAATTCTAGTTGTTGTAGTACTTTACAGATGTTATTTAAGGCCCAGAGCAAAAACAAAGCCATGTTTAAGTGGAATGATTAGCCTTCATCTCTGTTGATGTAAAGTACCATTTTTTGTGTTTTTTGTAGATATTTCAAGGAAACAAAGATTATCACCAGGATGTACGTAATAACTTTTTGCCACCAATTATTGCACGTTTTATTAGAGTGAATCCTACCCAGTGGCAGCAGAAAATTGCCATGAAAATGGAGTTGCTTGGATGTCAGTTTATTCCTAAAGGTAAAGAGACAGTGTGTGTAAGACATGTTATTTAGACTGGATTGTGAATTTTAATTTAATTTAATTTTTAATTTGTTCTCAAAGGAAGTAATTGATAATAATGTGTTTTCGTGTTAAAATTCTAGTTGAGCTATCTTCTTAAAGGACATTTTAAGAAAAGTTACCCTAACCAAAGTTGCCGTCAGAATGGTTTTCGAAATAAGCAGAAGAAAAAGAAATGGCATCATTCGTGAGAAACTGCTCTCCAAATCTAGCTTCAATCATAATTTTTAATCAGTACTCATGGGCTATACTATTTTTGTCAAATAAGAACCAAAGATTATAACAGCAACATTAGCCAAAGAGTGCTTAACTTTGAAGAAATTAAAGGTGGAAATAATTTTGACCAATATTACAGAGTATATTAATTAGCTGGTTACTGTTATCCCCCAAACTAGCAGCGCTTGACAGGCCTTCAGAAATATTGGCTAGCAAATTTATAAGTGATGATTGATACATAGTCCAATAAAACAATTTCTTGATTTAAAAAAAAAAAATATTGGCCAGTTCAGTTGAGTGTGATAGCAGATTGTGGTGCCATCTTTATAACTTTGGAGTCAACATCATTCTTGTCACCATTTGTCTCCTTTAATTTAAAAACAGAATGCCTAGTCTGTGCATTTAATGTGGAGTAGAATATTTGTCTCTGTAAGGATTGTAAGAACTCTGCAGAATTACATAGGTGAGGAAATGCAGAAGACATTTGGCATCACCATCTGTAACATGATTTTTAAAAGCAGAATGTAAATGTCTGTAAATCATTTTTCAAGGTCGACCTCCAAAACTTACTCAACCTCCACCTCCTCGGAACAGCAATGACCTCAAAAACACCACATTGCCTCCAAAAATAGCCAAAGGTAATGTCTCCTTTTTAATGTGAGAATCTGGTATTGCCTGGATTTGTAATCAGAAATACATTAAAAGCATTATAAAATAGCCATCTAAAGTTGGTGCAGATTAAAGAATAAAGAGTTCTTAAATTTTTTTCAAGGTCGTGCCCCCAAATTTACTCAACCACTCCAACCTCGAAGTAGCAATGAACTTCCTGCAGAGACAGAACAAACCACTGCTACTCCTGATATCAAAAATACCACGGTAACTCCAAATGTAACCAAAGGTATGCAGGTGCAAAAATGGAAACCCATTACCCAGAAGGATTTTGTTGTGTTTCTAACTTAAGTTTCAGGACTATTTCCTCAGTTTCATGTCTTCCAACTGTATTTTTTTCCACGTATAGCCCAAAAATTGACTTCCTTCCTTCCTTAGGGAAAAGACTAAGTGTGTTGATCTGAATTCCATTCTCAGGTGCCACGTGGAATTGTTCTTTCATTATTTAGAGCTGGCAGCTATGCTGTAGGTATCTTCTTGTAACTATTTTTTTCCCTGCTAACTAAGTGCATTGAGTCTCATTCTTAGAAATTTTTAGAAATACTCAAATCATAGCAGGAAACAAATTTTTCCCCAACCCTACCCCAATTATTTGTTAAATTTCTGAATAGGAAACTTGGTGGCAAAAAGGGAAAAAAGGGAACTTTTGGTAGAAACTAAAAAATTTTACAATATACTCTGCATTAATGTACTCATTAAAAGTTTACAGATTATTCAGATAATGAAATGTGATCCCTGTTGAACATGGGAGTGGGAGTGGGAGAGGGAAGAGATGTATAATTTGGGACACGCTCAGGCTGACTTGCCCCAAGTGGTGGAGTTGGAAGCATACCAGGGGATTCCAATTCAATCCCATCAAGGTGGCATGTACCAATGCCATCTCACTGTTCCAGGTGATCAATTTCAGTTCACAATTGGTCATGGTGGAAGGACTGGGAGTCAAAGGGAGCACATAGACAAGTCTAGTACCTGCTAACGCTAACCGATGGAGTAAATAAAGGGGAGAGTGATCCAACATGGGAAGTGAGATACTCAGCAGACTCATAGAATGGCAGATGTCCTAAATAGCACTCTGGCCTCAGAATCAGCCCTAAAGGCATTCGGATCTGGCTGAAAAGCCCATGAGAGTATTTCAGGCATGGAAAGCCAAGACACTCTGGCAAAAGATCTCTGTGAGTGAGATCCCAGTGGAAAGAACAGGTCTTCAAAGAAGGAGGTACCTTTCTCTGAAGGGAGGAGAGAACCTCCACTTTGACTATGACCTTGTCTAAACAAGATAAGAATCGGAGAACTCAGAGGGCTTCCATAGCCTTGGAAACTCATGACTGGAGCAGAGGGAGATTACTGATGCCATAGACAGGAGTGTCAATTGGTAAAGTCAACAACAGGAGTCACTGTGCACTTACTCCTCATGTAGGATCTCTGTCCTTAATGTACTGTGCATTGAGATTTAATGCTATAATAAGTACTCAAACAATATATTTCACTTTGTGTTTCTATGGGGGTGCAAACTGTTGAAATCCTTACTTAATGCATACTAAACTGATCCTCTGTAAAAAAAAAAAAAAAAAAAGAAATTATCAATTCCCAACTTGACTCTCACTGGGATTAAACATGACAATAGGTCTGCTCTGATTTCATCATCATTTAAAAAAAATCATCTATTATTTTTCACTTTGTTTCTGTGTGGGAGCAAACTGTTGAAATCCATACTTAATGTATACTAAGCTGATCTTCTGTATATTAAGATAATCGAAAATGAATCTTGATGTGAATGGAAGGGGAGAGGGAGTGGGAAAGGGGAGTGTTGTGGGTGGGAGGGACGTTATGGGGGGGAAGCCATTGTAATCCATGAGTCGTACTTTGGAAATTTATATTCATTAAATAAAAGTTAAAAAAAAATACAAAAAAAAAAGTTTACAGATTATAATTTTTTAGATTTTAAATACAAATATATTAGAATTTACTTTCAGATTTATTAACAATGTTTAGTGGTTATACTTTTTTCTATATTTTTATTATATATATTCATCCTTCATCATGTGCAGAAAATGTTTCCCCAGTTTATCATTTCTCCTTCAGTTTTATTTTGGTGACTTTAAAACCACTGACAGAGCCAGCACTGTGGCGTAGAGTTAAGCCTCTTCCTGCAGTGCCGATATACCATATGTACACCAGTTCACATCGCAGCTGCTCCACTTCTAATCTAGCTCCCCTGCTACTGCTCCTGAAAAAGCAGTGGAAGATGACCCAAGGCTTTGGGCCCCTGCACTTATGTGGGAGACTCAGATAAAGCTTCTGGCTCCTGGCTTCAGCCTGGCCCAGCCCTGACCATTGCAGCCATTTAGGGAGTGAACCAGTGGATGGAAGATTGATATTCTCATTCTCACTTTTTCTCTCTCTCCCTCCTCCTTTTCTCCTTCCCCCTCCCTCCCTCTCTGTATCTCTGCCTTTCAGAAAATAAATAAATCTTAAAAAAAAAAAAAAAACGCACTGGCCATTCGCTAGACAGGTGGAATGAATATAATGAACATCCAAGTATCTGTGAAAGCTTCTGCCATTACCAGTTCGGTTTTGTTTCACAAATAATAGTTAAGGTATTTTTTGTATTAGAAGAGTGTTGCATGAAGATGTAGTTAAATCCTTGTAAATTTTCCTTTGATTTTTGCCTTTGGTATTAATGTGTGCTTTTGTTTTTATTTTTTGACTTCAGATGTAGCATTGGCTGCAGTTCTTGTCCCTGTGCTGGTCATGGTCCTCACTACTCTCATTCTCATATTGGTGTGTGCCTGGCATTGGCGAAACAGGTTAGTACTTGACCAGTTCACCCATTAGTTGCAAGGTCAGATGTATTCCAAAGCTATCAAATGTAAAACAGCATTAAATATAGAAGATGAATTATATACAGTTCAGCTGTTTGATATGAGAGTAAAGTAGTCACTAAGTAAAAAATTGCAAATATTACCCTTTCATTCCTGTTAAAAATGAGTAAGTTCCATTTCAGTTACTGAATACCTTTATTGTATCAGGTTCAGCATTGTACATTGGTATATGAACATTAGTAAGCACAGTATCTGACCCATAGTAGGTGTTTGGTAATATTTCCTAAGAGAATGAGATAATTCCTTTCCCCCAAAGGGGACACAAAATAAGGAACTGTCATGTGGTTTGATGAGTTATTTATGAAGTACTGAGGAGAACCATGTGTCATCCAGAATTCTTCAGGAAAGGGAAACCCTCGAGTTTGTCACATTTTACCTTTAAAGTAATTGGAGTTAGCCACATGCAAGAAGGTAGACGTCCTCATCTGTTTGGGCTACTGAAAGTGCTTTCAGATCGGGGGGTGATCAGCAGCAGAAACTCATTTCCTAGAGTTCTGGAGGCTGAGAAGTCAAAGACCAAGACATGGCAGATTCTTTGTCTAGGGGGCTCACTCTCTGACTCCTAGACGGTGCTGCCTTGCTCAGTCTTCACTTGGTGGGAGGGGCAGAAAAGCTCTCTCGAGTTCTTCAAAGAAAACACTAATCCCATTCATGAAGTCTCTGCCTTCATGACCTCATCACTTCCCAAAGGCCCCACTTCCTCTTACCACCAGGATTAGAGGGTTAGAACTTCAGCTGTGACTTTTATAGACATCCACATTCAGACTCTGGCAATAGAGAGTAGCCCAGACCGAGCGAATTGCTAGAGTGAAGGAAGGCACAGAGGTATGGGATGTAGGCAGAGAAGTGAGTCACCCTAAGTAGCCTTGGCGTGGGAGATTCCTGAGAAGTGCCCATAGAAAGCCAGTCTGGGCCTAGACCAGGAAGGGCTTTCTGGAGAGAGAGATTTAGATTTAATTTTATTGATGGGGAAATCGTCAGTTGTTAAGCAGGCAGGTGACGATATCCTGTGATTGTAGAAAGACAGCAGCAGGAGTTCGGGGTGGATTGAAGGGGAGAGATTGGAAGAGGCAGCAAGATGCATTAGAAAACTACTAAGACCAGGCAGTGGCACAACACAGCAGTTCTAGGGAAGGGAGAAGGAATAGGGGGTGGGGTTTGACCACAGCATCTAAAGGATGCAAGACTACTTGTCTCCTAACGTAGAAGGAAGGATCTGAGTTTCCGGTTTGTGCAGTTAGACCAGTAGTGATCTCACGTGTTGAGATAACAGAGCAGGAGGGACAGGTTTGAGGGAGAGAGAGAATGATTTCATTTGTTAAGCCCTTCAACATACATTTGAATAGTTAGCTCTTAACCTTTGCCAAGTGTTGAAGCACATGCTGGCCAGTCCAGTGATGAACCCCAAAACTTACAGATGAGGAAAGGATACAGTGCACAGAAATGTCGACCGTGGCCCTGCCTACAGAACTTGTGCCATGGAGGAAACTGGAGGAGCACATAGATCCCAGACTCATGGTGTCAGTGAAGCTGAACAGAGAGCCAGGAGGTGGGTCGAGGGCTTTGGGAAGTTCAAGAGAAGAGTATCTCGTGCATTCATCCAGCTGAACAGCAGGAGAAGCACCCAGGTCCAACAGCAGCACTAGCCAAGCTTCCTAGAAAATTAAATGCTGCTTTTAGGCATTATTCTAAATTCTTTAGGCATTATCCTAAATATTATTCTGTATACATGTATTAATTCACTTACTATTCAGAACAACTAGTAAAGCAAGTACTGTTAAGAATCCCATCTCACAGAGGAAGAAAAGGAGACATAGCTTTCGTAACTTGCCTGAGGTTTGCATGGTAGAGTGGGGATTTGGACCAGGCCCCCGCCATTTCAGACCATATAATAAAGTATATAAAGAAAAATCTAGCACAAGAACAGGAAAGGTAGAGTCAACGCAAGGGCGGCAGGAGTGAAGTCCCGGGATAGTTTGGGATGATGTTAAAAGGACCCTGTGGACATCCAGACTCCCAGGAAACATTTGGAGAACTCGCCTGATGGCCGGGAGTCAAGATCTGAGCCAGAGACTTTAAGTTGCTGTTTAGAATGTAGTTGAAACTGCTAGTGATTAGCTTCATGACCAGGAGTAATGATGGGGAGAGGTGGAGAATGACAAACAGCTGCAACTTCACTGAGTCCTTACCTCACGCCAAACACTGTTCAGAGCACTTTGTGGGTAATGAATTAGTAACCAGAAGTTTTGTCACTTGAGATCCAGTACATGAAATTCTTTATAGTGCAACCCTTGGCTAATACTCATACCATGAAATTTGTTCTCCTGCACATATAAGGCATCTTCCTTCATTATTTTAGAAAAGATTATTGTTTTTTTAAATGTCATTAGAGGGTTTTCAGTGGGAAAAGTAATAAAACAGCATATTTTCTTTCTTTTCTGTTCCAAGTTTTCATTAATAGCCTCCTCACCTGCTATCTCTTTCATAGATTTCTTACTGTGCTCTGAAACAATGAAATAATATAAACACATCCAGCCTTTAAAAAGTGAGGAAGCTTTTACAGGCTTTGGTGTCAAATAAAAAACATGTCATCTTTCACTGGAAAAAGAATGTTTCCTAGTACAAAAAGGACATGGCTTAGGCCCTACATGGAAGCCACATTTGTGATCTTGAGCAAATAGCTCAACTGTCTTGTCTTCATCTGTACACTAGAGCAATTTCTGCTTTCTCTTTATCTTACAAAGCACAAATTTTAATTAAGTTAAATTTACACGCTTCTTTTCACTTTTTCCATGTAACAGGCAGTGATTGCTAACAGAGAAACGTGCAGTTCCTCCTGGGGAGGTCAGATCAGAGTACTAAGGGCCAAGCAAGGGAGAATCTTCAAGAATACACTGTGCCACCCAGGCCTGGAGAATCCTTTTGCCACTTGTCACTTGTTAATGATGACATTGACTTAATCCTGGGGGAACTAAGTCTCTACAAATCAGTGTGAAACACTTTATCCCTCTCTGAGACAAAGGACCCTAAAAGCAAGGAAACAAGTCAGAAAAAGAGCAGAAAATGCAGAACATAAAGCCAGAAGATGATCTTTTTAGTTCTGTGAATTTTGTGATTTGATTGATTTGTGAAATTTGTGTTTGAAACCAAAGCCAATCTAGCATCATTTGCCATGTCAAGGCTGAGACTTTGATTTGATTCAGTCTTTTAGTATATAGACTTGGCCTTTTTCAATTTCCCTTATCCCTCACGAGTGACTAATAGGTGGATAGCAAGGTAATTATCTCAGAAGATAGTTAATTTATTGAGTCCAGGATTCATAAGCCTGGGGGGTGGCACACTTGAAAGTCAAATGAAATATATCAGCAAGTGAAGTGCGTGCTCTTGACTAATTATTAACTTGGGTGTTTATGCTGCAGCCTCAGAGATTTCTTTCCAGTGAATTCACCCTGTTGGCTCACTGTTTTTCTGTATTTTTCCAGAAAGAAAAAAACAGAAGGCACTTACGACTTACCATACTGGGACCGGGCAGGTAACTCATGGGGCCCTGACTTGTGTTTTCCATCAGAGGCAAGTCCTTCCCCTGCAGGCGGCAGCAGAGCGAGAGGACTGGGTTCTCAGCCCGTCACAGCTTCCACCAGCATCTGAAGAGTGCTATTCCTCTTCCCTTCCCATCCTTTGCCCCTTTACAAAGTCTCTGTAGTTAATAAGCAGTGACGTTGGGAAGCACAAATTTCTCCTGTCCTTTCTCCTCTGGAGAACTTGTGTGTCGCACCTCATTTACCTTTTCCTCTTGAGAGTGGCTCTCTGTGTGGCCCGTGTGAACCCCAGTGAGAAACTGCAGTCCCAGTGATTTTCCTCACGGAGGCCTGCAGTGAGCTGTCAGTCGCTGAATCACTGCAAGGGATACCAGAGGCCCCCAGCTGTACTCCCCCTGCCCAGTCTCGCTGCTGGAACCCCAGTTAGGAGCCGAGAGAGTGCAAGCTGGGGCCAGTCTGGTAAAGGGCACAGCTGGGGGCAGATCCTCCGGGCTGTTATCACCCCGGGGTGGCTATGGGAAAGTATTTTTTGGGAACAACTTAGGAAAAGCCACCCTTGCAATAGGCAGTAAGTCTGGCTGCCCTGTAGGAGCAGGGATTGTCTGCTTGTTTTTGATAGAGGTTTCTGCCATCTTCTCGTTGGCACTGGATAGTCGATCAAAGCAGACATTGAGGGGGAGCATCAAGACTAGGTTGCAGAGATAGGTGGTTGTGATAGAAAAGGCTTACATACAACAGGATATTTCCCTTGGCGTTATCTTTTGAGGCGTAGGTTCTCATTTAACGGTTTCTTTGACTTCTGATCATAATGAAGGCTGGTGGAAAGGAATGAAGCAGTTTCTCCCTGCCAAGTCAGTGGAACACGAGGAAACCCCAGTTCGCTACAGCAACAGTGAAGTGAATCACCTGAGTCCGAGAGAAGTCACCACAATGCTGCAGGCTGACTCTGCAGGTAACTGGGTGGCCGCCTCCGGGCACCAGGCAGAGGAGCAACTGCTTACATCGTTAAGTGTTTGGGACTTAGAATAGCCTGGCCTTTCTTCATATGGAAGAGATGAACTGTCTTTCAAAATGACCTTGAGAATAGAGTCGTTTCTGTGTTGTGCTCTATCTGTAAAATTGGGGCATTCATCTGTAAAGACGTGGACGTTTTGTCTTAACCTGGAGTTTCATTTGTTTGTTTTTAAGATTGATTTATTTAAAAGGCAGAGTTAGGGAAAGGGAGAGACCCAGAGAGATCTTCCATCTGCTGGTTCACTCCACAAATGGCCACCAACAGTGAAGCTAGGAATTTCTTCTGGGTCTCCCACATGGGTGGCATAGGCCCAAGTACTTGGGCCGTCTTCTGTTGCTTTCCCAGGCACATTAGCACGGAGCTGGATTGGAAGTGGACCAGCCACGACATGAACCGGTGCCCATGTGGGACGCCGGTATGGCAGGCAATGGCTTAACGTGCCCTGCCACAATGCCACTTCCTCCCAAACCCCGCCAGGATTTCATCTGTTTTTGCCTTTTAGAGAGGATAGGATGTTAAGCAGCAAGCAGAAAAGACAGAGCCATACAGAATTTATCCTATTACCCTGCTATATATCCACAGTTATCCATTATCCCAGTACATATTCCTTTTAAATATTCCTGGGGCTGGCTCTGTGGCGTAGTGGGTTAAGCATCCCTCTGTGGCACTGGCATCCCCTAAGGGTGCTGGTTCAGGTCCTGGCTGCTCCACTCTTGATCTAGCTCCTTGGAGAGCAGTGAAATATGGCCCAAGTGCTTGGGCCCTTGCACCTGCTTGGGAGACTCGGAGGAAAAGTCCTGGCTCCTGGCTACAGATTGGCCCAGTTCCGGCCAGTGCGGCCATTTGGGGAGTGAACTGTTGAATGGAAGAGCTCTCTCTGTCTCTCCCTCTCTCTGTAACTCTACATCTCCAGTAAATAAATCTTAAAAAAAAAATCCTAATTTCAGAGTTTTTTTCCTTTTCAAATATTATTTCCAGAATTAAGACTTATTCCAATAAATTTCTTTTTCTTAATGAAATGCTAACTGTAAATTAAAGAATGTATGCATTCTTTATGCAAAATTGCACGCTAATGTGTTACCATGATGTACTAGATAGCATCTTTTTTTTTCTTATTTTTTTTTATCTTTTATTTAATGAATATAAATTTCCAAAGTACGACTCATGTGTTACAATGGCTTCCCCCCCATACCGTCCCTCCCACCCACAACCCTCCCCTTTCCCACTCCCTCTCCCCTTCCATTCACATCAAGATTCATTTTCGATTATCTTAATATACAGAAGATCAGCTTAGTATACCTTAAGTAAGTATTTCAACAGTTTGCTCCCACACAGAAACATAAAGTGAAAAATAATAGATGATTTTTTTTAAATGATGATGAAATCAGATCAGACCTATTGTCATGTTTAATCCCAGTGAGAGTCTAGTTGGGAATTGATAATTTCTTTTTTTTTTTTTTTTTTTACAGAAGATCAGTTTAGTGTACATTAAGTAAAGATTTCAATCGTTTGCACCCCCATAGAAACACAAAGTGAAATATACTGTTTGAGTACTCGTTATAGCATTAAGCCTCAGTGTACAGCACGTTAAGGACAGAGATCCTACATGAGGAGTAAGTGCACAGTGACTCCTGTTGTTGACTTTACAAATTGACACTCCTGTTTATGGCATCAGTAATCTCCCTATGCACCAGTTATGAGTTTCCAAGGCTATGGAAGCCCCTTGAGTTCTCCGACTCTTATCTTGTTTAGACACGGTCATAGTCAAAGTGGAGGTTCTCTCCTCCCTTCAGAGAAAGGCACCTCCCTCTTTGAAGACCTGTTCTTTCCACTGGGATCTCACTCACAGAGATCTTTTTGCCAGAGTGTCTTGGCTTTCCATGCCTGAAATACTCTCATGGGCTTTTCAGCCAGATCGGAATGCCTTTAGGGCTGATTCTGAGGCCAGAGTGCTATTTAGGACATCCGCCATTCTATGAGTCTGCTGAGTATCTCACTTCCCATGTTGGATCACTCTCCCCTTTATTTATTCTATCGGTTGGTGTTAGCAGATACTAGACTTGTTTATGTGCTCCCTTTGACTCTTAGTCCTTTCATTATGATCAATTGTGAACTGAAATTGATCACTTGGAATAGTGAGATGGCATTGGCACATGCCACCTTGATGGGATTATAGCATCTTAAATTTCCATTTTTGAAGTTGGATCTTGCCAGGTGAGAAATCCATAGGTCGTCTTTGGTAGTGACAAAAGTACCACTGAGAAGCACTTTTGGGGTTCTTGCAGCTAACTCCCAAGTTCTGTAATCTGTGTATGAGCAAAACAACTCCCATGTTGCATTTTCGTGATCTCCACAGAGTACGCACAGCCACTTGTGGGAGGACTCGTTGGCACCCTTCACCAGAGATCTACCTTCAAGCCTGAGGAAGGAAGAGACGCAGGCTACGCAGACCTCGATCCTTACACCTCGCCAGTGCAGGAAGTGTACCATGCCTATGCCGAACCGCTCCCCATCACTGGGCCTGAGTATGCAACCCCAATCGTCATGGACATGTCAGGGCACCCCACAGCTCCAGTGGGTCTGCCTGCAACATCCACTTTCAAAGCTACAGGGAACCAACCTCCTCCCGCTTTGGTGGGAACCTACAGTCCACTTCTCTCCAGGACTGCCAGCTGCTCCTCAGCCCGTGCCCAGTATGACACCCCAAAAGGTGGGAAGCCAGGTCCCACTGCCCCAGACGAATTGGTGTACCAGGTACCACAGAGCACGCAGGAAGCATCAGGTGCAGGAAGAGATGAGGAATGTGGTATTTTTAAAGAAATCCTTTGAAGCCGATGCTGCTTTTTACAAAGCATCATTTTAAAGCACATGGCCTTTGTAAAGATTATTAGTAGTAGTAATATATAGAATGTATTACATATCTGTCACTGCAGCAGTTGGGGAAACGTGATGACCAAGGGACAGGAAACTACTAATTTTGCCATCTCGCTTTAAAGGTGTTACTGTGCCAGTCATTGCTTGCCTCTTAAATTTTCAACATCCTGTTTGTTACTACTGTAAGACACTCTTTTAATACAGAAAAAGCTCCCTGTAATGCACTTCAAAGAAATTAAAATTCACTGAGTATTTATTTCCAATGTTGCAGGTACATTAATGAACTCAAGAGATGGCTCTGTAAGCCAGACTGGCAATAACGCATGGTACTGTTTTTTGGGTTTTTTTTGGTGTTTTTGAAATATCTAATGGCTTGAAATTCTCTATGAAAGGTGGGTACTATCTTGATTTCCTCTTGTTCTATTTCTAGATTGCTTTCTGCATTATTATTTTGAATAGTGACACAGCACTGTTTGGATTACAGCCATGTACATTTCTCTTTCAGTAGGAAGATCTGTAGCTAGGAAACTGGCTTGTACTGAGCAGGGTGCCGACTTCACGTTGTGACACTCACAAGCTCAGCACTTCATGGTACATGACCTGGTCTCAGCCTGGCTGCTTCTGACCAGGGTCCTTCTGGGTGAGGCCCATTCTTGTGTTTATAAAATGTTTGGTTTCTTTCGGCATGTGATGCTTGCTGTATCCATCTCTTGAACTCAGATCCTCTGAAGTCTTTCTATTTCTCCATGTGGAAACATGAGAGGAGCTAATTACGATTTAGAAAAGCTGTAAAAGAGATTCCCTTCCTCCCTGCCCCCAAATTTTATTTGCAATAAGATTTTTCCCTTGGAGAGTTGTGGAAAGTTGAGGGCTTCTAAATGAATGCTGCAAACATAACTGATTTATATTTATCACAGTAAAAGACAAAAATCATTCACTCACAAGTAATACAAATTACCTTAAGCAAACAAATAATACAATGAAAATTTGTCCTCTTTGGCTTTTTACACACACACACACACAAATTCTGCTTCCATCTCAAGGAACTTTATTATTTTTAGGCAAATAATTTTCAGTGCATTTTTCCACAGTAAACTCTTGTAAGAAATGCCAGCCCAACTTGTGGTGTTCAGTCTTCACTGTGACTGCCCGTTGGATGGTGAGAGAGAGGAGGAGTCCTTTGTCATACCTAGGGAACAGATGTAGTGACATCCTAGCAAATGAATATCTGTGCCTTGTTTTTGGTACCTCCTGGCAACTTGTCACCATTTGTTCATGATTTGTCCAGAACGAGTTGCAAATAAGGCAAAAATAAAAAATCGTCTGCAATGTATCAGCCAGTAGTGTAAAAAAAAAAAACTTTAAAAGTCTTTAGATTGGCAAGACAACATAAGAAGCTCACCATATAGTGAATAAAAGAAAACTAACATCCCCTCCTCCATCAACCTTAGTGTGTAGACTTAATGTGAAACTAGTTTAGTCATTGCTGTCAGCCAGGCCACCAGACTATGATGCTGCCAGAGTTCACTACATTTAAATGAAGGTGAACAGCATTCATTTTGTTTGCTTCCATGATATTCTAAAACATTGCTCCAAAAAGAGAACCATGTACTTCTACAGCCTCCCTGATCCCTTCTTCATTGTATGCTTTGTTGGCTTTCCATTTGCTTTTCTTTTTCCAAACTTTGAGGCACAATTTCATTCATTGAAAAAAAAATCAGTCAATGCATAGTTTGTTTCAAAAAGCACAGATGTTGAACATTGAGATACACATGAATGTGTGAAGTGTGTGTGTTAATGCAGTCATCCCCTTTCAGGTGGAAAGGTTAAACCAGTGGCTTTAATTTTTTTTATAATTCATCCTTAGTACATGGAAAATATACTCTTCCTCAAGTTGTAAACCTCTTTGAAGCTTTAGGAGATGTTTTCAATGATTATTTCACTTACCCAGAGAAGCTTGCTATTTCTGTGTAATTTTGTGTACCTGCTTGCTTTCCGCCCTGGAGCTTTTGTTGCTGTGCACAAAAGGCAAGTGCTTTCTGAAGTGATGCATATTGAAAACTTGACTCATCACCACTGTGCTGTCCTTGAACTACCCATGATTTTAATAAAATAGTTTTTACTACTTTTATATATTTTCCCTTCCAGATGAAGAGCTGAGCCTGAATCAAATTGTTTTTCTAGTTCTGTACTTTGAGTTTGTTTTCCTGTTTGAGATTTTTTTAGTATGTTTATATGTCTGATATATATACACATATGTATATATATACATATAAATACAGCTTTGGAGACAATCAAGTAACATCTGAAAATGTGAAAGTAACCATCTTTTGACAGTTCCCTTGGATTTTTCTTTGCTTGAAGCATTTAAGACTTAAATTGTTTTTTTTTGTTTTTTTTTTTTTTTTTGGTGTGTTGATACAATTATAGAAATTGAATCAGACAATGACACAGCAAGTGTGGCCCTTACAGGTTTCATAAAATTACACTGACTTGGCTGTTACTTGATCCTAGAAACCAGCACAGTTAAAGATATTGTGAATTCTTATTTTTATTTTATTAAAATGCTATAAATAGAATCTGTTATGTGCTGGGTCTAGTCCAGTTATTTAACTTCACAGTTCACTATTTGCACTTTGCATTGAACAATGGGTTTATTCACTGATGAAAATCGAATAGAGAATTTATTCAGAAATTAAAATTATGTATACACCTGCCTCTTCCCCTATCCCCCACAACACTGGGAGAGGGCAGCAGACTCCTAGCTCATCTGAATGTGCCTGTGGCTCCCGAGTGTGGAGAGTGACAAAGCTGGGGCTTCCTTCCTGTGCTGCAGAAAGACCCTGTCAGGTGAGTCAACTAGAAAGGCCCAGTGGAGTGTGGGGGACATTTCCTGTGAGAACTGATGAAGCTCTGCCTAAAATTAGGATAATCACTTATGAGCTCTGCCTTTTTGTTCTAAACTTGAAGTCCCTAAACTGCAAAATTTAAGAGTTGGATAGTTATAAAAGTAGTTTTTAGATCAACTGAGGCACGAATTCTCATGTAATCCAACTTGTGGCTAGTTTTTTTTCCCCTTTGGCACTGTTGAATATGGAAACAAAACATGTATTGAAATGCATATTGGAAATAAAAATGGCCTAGTGTCAGTGACTCTCCCAGAATGTACTTTTCTTACCTCGGCATGTACTGTAGTCACTCAGTATTTGTATATGTTGCTAGAATTTAGATTGTATAAACAGTGAAATTTTAATGTGTTCCTTCCTGTGTTTTTAATAAATTGTATATATAATAGATGTCTTGCTCAGATTATTAAAACAGCCTTGAGGTTTGTAGCTTTTTCTCATACTTCACAAAATACTGGGTTTCTCAATTTTCAGTCACACATTTTATGGCCAAATTTTTTTTTTTTTAATTTAAGGGGAAGGTTTTATTGATGGGGGAAGTCCGATAGGCTGGAGGGAAGGGGCAGAGAAAGGGGGGTGGAGAGAGATCAAGAGAGGATGAAGAAGAAAGAGATGGAGAAAGGGAGAGCTGTGTGGGAAGCAGGTGTTACACCTTTGCAAGGGGATAGGGAAGTAGAATAGAATTAAAAACTAATGGGGCCGGCGCTGTGGCTCACTTGGTTAATCCTCCGCCTGCATAGCCAGCAACCCATATGGGCACTGGGTTCTAGTCCCGGTTGCTCCTCTTCCAGTCTAGCTCTCTGCTGTGGCCTGGAAGGGCAGTGGATGGTGGCCCAAGTGCTTGGGCCCTGCACCTGCATGGGAGACCAGGAAGAAGCACCTGGCTTCAGATTGGCTCAGCACCAGCCAAGGTGATCATTTGGGAAGTGAACCAATGGAAGGAAGACCTTTCTGTCTCTGTCAAAAAAAATTTTTTTTTAATTTTTTTTTTAAACTATTTTTCTTTTCTCCTTCATCTCATTCTCCCAAATACCTTGTAGTTTCACTTACTAACATTTGGGAAGGGAGACAAGCTCAGCAATCAGAAAAGCTGGGTTGTTTGTATCCCATCAGATTCTGCTCTGGCGCCTCTCAGGATACACAGGTAAGCTTTCCATTTGAAGGTTGGACTTAATCATGTGAAAAGAATTTTTATGAAAATACCTGTAAGTCCAGAGCCCAGCTTGACTTAAGGGTTTACTTGCTTTGTTGTGTTCAGCATTTCTAATTTACTTCAAATAGAAAACTTTCCAAGTTTAGTACATAAATAAATTAAGGATTTTTCCCTTCTTGAGTATGTCTAGCTTGTTTTTGTATAAACTATATATTTAAAAAAAAATGCAGAACCAGCAGACTTTGGTAATTGAATTATTTAGTCATTTACTCGTATTTCCTTCAACTTAAAAAGGCATCCTCATTCTACCAGATTACTGCTTGTCACAATCATGGTTTAATTGTCAGGGGAAATGAGTTTAATTTAACCAGTATGAACTTAAATTTTCATAGCCAGTGCTTCTCTTTTGCCACATCAAGGCACAGTCACATGCCATTTCCCCAGCCAGGTTTATAGTAGCCAAATGTATGTCTGACAGTGTCAATCAAAATTGTTGTGGCCTAGAAAGTCCTCTTATTAGGAAGTCACATCCCTCTAAAAGTCTGTGATGATTTACTTAGAAAAAAAGTTTAAAAACACCTAAGAAACCTAGCTTATTTTAAAAACACAACATTGTCAAAACTTATTTCCCTGATATCTATATATTTCTTGGTTTTCATAAATATATTCACAGAAATTAAGCTGGTGGTTATGAATCACCAGGCAGCAGACTTAATATACATAATTGACAAGTGCATCCAACATATTTAAAAATAAACTAAAAATTGCAGTATAAAAATAAAACTAATACTGTTGGCATCATCTTCCGAGTCCATAATGTCAATCTTGAGTCAAGTTGATTACAAAGTTCTTCTCTATAATGTCCTTCAGAAACAGCTGCTCTGCAGTCACATTGTGATACGCGTTCTAGAGAAGAAAAATGAAAGTATCCGTCCAGTCTCAGGCATGAAAGACCGCAATGGAATGTTCTGTATCTAGGATATTCTGAGTAGTTAGCTAAAAGTCACATGGAATTGTAGCATTTGTTACCTTTATAACTTTGTTTCCTTGACCAGTCCCCTAAAGCCCCCTGTTGTTAAACTATCACCTAAGAGATTCCTTCAGATCATCCTCTGAATTTATAACATGATTCAAATATACCAAAATCTTTCTATCTTTATAGTAAAAGCAGCACCTGGGACTCATTAAAAAGCAAATTGGCTTGGAGATAAACTACTATAAAACATAATTCAGTTTAAGATGTACTTAATCTGTTGGTGTGTATCCTAATTTTCTTCAGGACATTGTATTAATAGTGTTTTTTTTAGAAGATTCTTGAACTACTGAAGTGTTTGTCTTACACTGAGGGAGGGATGACAAAAGACAGGACTAAACTGCAACCTGAATAGTCCCACTTATCATCCTTATGCAGTACGGGTGGATTGAAGGGGGTCACAGTCATGGTATATATTCATATCTATTATAGCCATTCATGTCTTAATACTACGGTAAACAGATAACCTCTTAGTTCTGTCACTTGTCAACCACTTACGCTAAAATTAGCACCAAAAAAACCCACAAAACTTCCCAATCAAAAACCCTCAGGATCAAATGATCCCTATGTAAGAGAAGCATGATCCAGTGTAAAATTTTGCAACCTTTTTGATCATGAAAACTTACGGGGTTATAGTGTTCTAGATCATCTGTCTGCTTAACTGAGAAATGTTTAATTACTGTGAGCAGAGCAGTGCTTTCAGGTGACTCTAATACTGTAACATCTCCAACGCAGCAGGTTGTTTAAATGCTGCAAACATGATACTATCTAAAGTAAAGGTCCATATGTGGGTTTGATGGCACTTGGCAAAAACCATGAGGTTCTCCACAAGAGCTTGAGACCCACAAATTGGAACTGGATGTACTAAAATGATCTCTGGATTTGAGTCTCCTGTTGCTCCTCCTTGTTAGCTCTGTAACCCCTTGGAACCTGTTTGTTCAATGAAATGGAAAAGTGAGAAAATATGGGCTTTGCAACTTCAAAGATTTTATACCAAAGTATACGTATGAGTATGTAACTTAAATAAATCACTTCATATTACCTTATTCATCAAAGACATGGTGGCATTCCCATAGTAGTGCAAAGGACTCTTGAGGTCAGAAAAGTTGTATTTAAAACCAGCTAGGTGAACTTCATGACATATATGGAATGCCAGTGTGATGGCAATGATTCCCGTTGTTGGGTGTTTGGGTTTCTGAGGGAAAAGGAAAATTTCTTCAGAATCCCATTGAGCCACTTGTTTCCAAAACATATTTGACTTAAATGTTCAGCAATCAGATTGCTGAACATTTATCAGTACAGAAGTAATTAAATTAATATTTTTGGGTCCTAGGACTCAAGCCCCAGACAGTACACATAAACATATGTACCCATACACACACACAAACACAGCTGGAATGTTAGAAAATCTTTCAAGTAAAATCTTGCTGCAGTATTGACCTAGAGAACAACTACCAGATGAAGGGAGAAGTGCTTCTGTTTTGTTTAAAACAAAAACATGAGTCGGGCTCTTCATGGGAGAAGCAAAGCCTAGGGGTTCTGAGTGCATGTGTGATATGTAAAGACAGCTTAGGGTGCTAATGGATCATTGTAAATGGCTTCAAATAGGGCTGGTGTTACAGCGTACCAGATAAAGCTCTTGCAATGCCACTAGCATCCTATATGGGCACAGGTTCAAGTCCCAATCGCTCCAGTTCTGATCTAGCTCCCTGCTAATGGCCTGAGAAAAGCAGAATATGGTCCAAGTATTTGGGTCCCTGCACTCACATGGGAGACCCAGAAGCAGCTCCTGGCTGCAGCCATTTGGGGAGTGAACCACCAAATATAAAAGATCTGTCTTCTCTCTCTGTAGCTCTTTCAAATAAGTAAATATTGTTTAAAGGCTTTAAATGATCATTTAAATCATTTAAGCCCTGAGAAAAGACTAAACTTTAATGGCAAACTGTAACAGCATCTGACTAGCAAATAAAGAATCCAAATGTATATATAGACATCACCATCCCAACTAGATTGTTTAAAAAGAAAAAATAAAGAAATTTAGCATCCCTTTCCTATATTTGCATATGAATAACCTAAAAGTGCAATAGATGTTTGGAGTCTTGGCATTCAAAAGTTAATTGTCACTGGATGGACTTCAAAGATGAAAATATATCTTTTGCACAATCATTCAAGGACACCTCTCTTCACTAAGTTTCTGACAGATCTCATGGAAATTATATATTAGTTACTTACAACTAGGAGGAAAATTAAAAGCAGCACAATAAAATCAAATGAACTCCAGAAGCAAATCTTAAATCCTAACAGCCATCAGCAAAACCTTTTCTTATCCCATTTACTATGTGACCCCACCACAAACCTTGGCATCTGCTATTGAAGGAAGTTAGTGATTGGATTAAAAATTTTGAGTCAGAGCTGGCATTGGGTATAGTGATTAAGGTACTTCCAGGAATGCTGCATCCCCTGTCAGAGTGCCTGTTAAGTGCTTTCCAATTCTAGCTTCTTGCTAATGTGCACCCTGGGAGGTGGCAGGTGATGGCTCAAGTGCTTGACTCCCTGCCTCTCAAATGGGAGATTCCAAGCTCCTGGCCTAGTCTTGACTGCTGTAAGCATCTGGGAAGCAAGTTCACTAATAAAGAAGATTCTTCTCTCTCTCTCTCTCTCTCTCTCTCTCGGACTGCTGCCTTCAGAATACAAATGTAAAACTTTCTTGAAAATGCTGTCATCTTCAAACTATTGCTCCATTTCTCTGATCCTGTTTCAGCAAAACTCCACTAAAGTCTGTGGTTTGCTCATGTCCCATATCCTCTGTGACCTCATTCAAGCAGCCTGTCTTCCTCTTTCTTGTCAGTCTCACCAATCTGATCCCCATGATTATAAAACAAGGGCTTACTATTTGTATTCAACTTCTAGACAGCACATGACATGGCTGACTGCTCTCTCTTGAGATGTAGCAGTGTCCTGATCTTTTGGGACACCATGTCCTACTAGCACTTTAATCTTAGCTTCAGCATGTCTGAGAGGGTCTGCCTGCACGTTTAGTGTCAAAGACGCAACATTACCCCAGTCAAAAAGCAAGGGATGCATCTGATCACAGCCACTTAGGGAAACAGCAACTGAAAAGTCACAAAACAAAATCAGAAGCTGTCGTTTACCCTCAAAATTACAAAGAAATGGGGTTTAAATTTCAGATGTGTATGCTTTTTTACCTGGATCTTCTATTTCCACAGAAATCACACTAGCACACAAAAATCCATATAAGCACATACATTGTGACACTACACAGAGGAAAAAAAGTTGAATATACCTAAATGTCTATAAATAGGAAAACAGTTAAACAGGGTAAAAAGTAGCAGAATACCTATGGTATAACTGTCTAAAAGGGTATAGGTATGTGTGAATGTGTAGGAATGTAAACAGTGGTAAATGGAAAATTACCTGGATTACATTAGCAAGAGGACAATTTCCTTTTTAAAAAAATTCCTTTAGAAGTTATTTGATTTTAAACACTTTAGAATGTCCTGATCACAATTTTTAGCATGCCAAAGAAAAGATGTGTGATGTATATGTATTTGGCTTTTCCCTATTACAAGAGCCTTTGTCTCTTCTGAGGTACCACGATAGTTACCCAAACTTAAATGAGAACATCCCTGCCACTGTGTGTCTGGATGTGTATGACATGCTGAAGTCTCAAGAACTCTCAGTACTGCTGTCACCTTCATTTCTTAAAAACAGTGCCACTATGCCCTCTGACCACAGAAATATTTTTGGACTAGCACGTGGCCCTTCACCTTTCTTCTGGCTTTCCTGTGATATTTTTGTCACAGTGTTCAAGCAGGGTTTTTGTTTTTTTTTTTTTTTTGTCAGCCTGAAAAGCCATGCACTTGTCTTGGCACCAGTTCTGCTGCTCTGAGCACAAGCTGCCTGTCAACGCACACAGGCAAAGTCTCCTTGGAGCACAACATTGAAGGCAATGTTGTAAGACAACCCAGGAGGGCCCTGCAAAGGCAGGAAAAACCCTCTGCTCAAGGTTCTTTTCCTTGGAACATAAAGGCCACAGATACCTACTTTTACCAACCTGGACGTGGTCCTCAGAAACCACTTCATGGGGTGTGGGTCTCATACAGTTTCTCACACCCGAGGACCCCCTCACCTACCTTAGCCAAATCTTTACATTGAAACCACACAAATATAAATACATACCTGATTTTTGGGAAACACTTTTGGAAAATGAAGCAGTTCATATGCTGCTGTTCTGATAATGAAAGGATCTAATACTCTGATTTGGTAAGGTTTATAAATCAAGTTTAAGGCTGGCTCCTTCCAAAAACCATTAGTGTCCTGAAATAATACAGAAAACACAACTTGTGGATGCTTTTCTTTTTTAAGGAAGAAAGCACTGAAGTTAATTTAAAGGCAGATCAGTTTTTCAAACTTACTATTTTGCCACCCGTCACCAATTCCAAAAGCCACTTTAAGTCAAGTGGCTTAAAAACAGTGAGAATTGCTGTAGTATTAGGATCATTGTGATTGGGATCTGAAAAAACAGATTCTGGATAAAAAAGTCGGAAAGTTGTTCTTCTCCCAACTTCCTCTTCGTGTCCTAAAACAGGACCATTATTCATTCTGTGGGTAATAAAACACAAAATATACCAAGTGACGTATGAGCATTTTTCATCACCGTTCTCAGAGGTTTCAGAGATGGTCAAGAATCAGCCATTTATCCAAAGCCACAAGGCAACTGATAGATCTCTTGTACATGATGGCCAAGGAAATACTTCCCTTTCATGAAAGAGCTAGTTGATCAAAGACAGAAATATTTGTTTGTATTTGAAAATTCATTGTGTAAACTGATAATTCCATCTTACCTCTAGGAACACTGAAGGCTAGAAAAAGAAATGTGAATACAAAGTACAAAAATCAAAAGGGATCTTGGAGGACAACCATACAGATATCCTTGGATTTACAGAGAACAGCCCTGAAGTCCAGGGAGACAAAGTTATTTGTCCAAGATCACACAGAGGTATATCTAAGTGACTGACAGACAAGAATCATCATCATGAAGTTGATAGCCCTTCAAAACTGTTGTTCTCTGAAATACAGTAACCACATAACATCGCTTGTGTTAAGTATTCAAGAACAACCCAATGCATGTCTATTGCTAGAGTGAACTGAAGAGCCACAAAGGATCTCCTGTTGGCAGGGTAGACACAAACTATTTATGCATATGTTATGAAGACATGCTATAAAAAAAAAAAGGAATGCTTTGTTTCCAAAACAATGTGCCCCCAGGAGGATAAATACTGTTTTACACTTTGCCACTGACTCTATAAGGCAGTCTTTAACATCAATTGAAATGACAATGTTGTACACCCATGGTGCTTTTCCACAGGGTTTGCTGTGTTTTTAAGCAATCAGTTTAGATCATTATGAGTAGAGAAATTTGTGAGTGCTTCAAGATCGTTTGGTAGATAAATTGTCACAGCTTCCTCAAAATGGATAATATACAAAATAGGGTGACCTCACTTTACTTGCAGAAGTCCTAGGCACTTTGTAATCAGGCACAACCACTGAACACTTCCAGGTCATCTTAAGTGGCTTTGTCCTAGCAAGGTCACTTTCCCACAAAAGGCTGCACAGTCACTCTTCACACACACACTGACTCCAGAAGATGACCTGACCTTAACCTTTGATTGAGAAAGCAGAGATGGCAATGTCCTTATTTCCCCACACTCAGTCCCCGGGACTCTTGGCAGCTGTAAACATAATCTGGATTCTTTTCCATTTTAAAAGATGACCCTCACATCCGCTGTATACCCCACCACCTCTCTATCACACCAACCTCTTTCTGTGTTCTGCATTTGCCAATCTGCTCTGGCATCTCCCATCTTTACAAAACAAAACAGCCTCCCATGTTTCCATAAGCACCGGCCAGCTAGCACCTCATTTCTCAACTCCTTCAGAGCAAAATTTCTCAAAGGAGTTCACTGGTTTCTCTATTCTTCATCTGTCATTCTTCAGCTCATCCCGATTAGCTTCTTGCCACATTATGCCTCTAAGTCTGTTTTGTCCTGAGTGTCACAGTGAGCTTCAGGTTACCAACTAGATTATCATCTCTCCCCTTATGTTGCATGACCTGTCACCAGCACTGGGACCTGCCTGATCCCTCCCCTCTGGCCTGAAACACTTTGTTCTCTTGGCTTCCATGATCACCTTCTCCTGATCGTCCCACTTCACTGGTGAATCCTCTCTCCATCTCTGTTGCTTACTCTTTGCCTTTGCTCAATCTCTAGGTGTTGAGAGCCCCCAGGCTCTGTCGTGGGCCTTCCAGGGTCTCTGAAGTCTTCCCTGGGAACCATCACCCCATCCATGGTGTAAATACAGCCCATAGGCTGCTCACCAGAGAGACTTTAGGCTGTCTGTCTAACTTCCTACATGACTTACTCACCGTAACTAATAAGCATCTCAAATCTAACATATTCACAGAGAAATCCTGTTTTTTCTCTAAATCTTCTCCTACCCCTGCCTTATCCAACTCAATAAATGATAGCCACTTTCCAGCCAGTCTCTTAAGCTGAAAACAGTAGTAGCCATCCTTGGTTACTTTATCCTCACTATCCCTCACATCTAGTAAGACAGCAAATCCTGATAATGCTACTGGTAAAATCTTCAGTCTGTGCACTTCTTTCTCTTCCATGACAGTCCCTTCTCAACCCACCACCATCTCCTACCCAAATACAACAACCTAACTGGCCTCCTTCCTTCTAGCCTTGTCCCTCACATTCCACGGTCCATGTTACAACCAGACTATCTTAAATATATAACCAGGTTGCACTGCTCTCTTAAGAACTTTCAACAGCTTCCTACTGTACCTAAAATCCAAGCTCTGATTCTAGTTCACTGAATCTAGGTGATAGATCAGGATAGGCTGCTCCTTGCTCACTTTTCCAGCTTTTGAATGCACCACTACTCCCACCTCATCCTCTTGCCCTCCAACCTCACTGGATTTTTGCTACTCAAACTCAGACCATATCCTCCTGAAGCCCTGCTGTGAGCATTCTCTCTAAACTGCTCTTCCTTAATCTTTATGTGGCTGATACCATATGGTCATTTAGGTTTAGGCGAGATGTCTTCTCCACAAAGCAATCATCCATTCCAAAGTATCCACTCAAACAGTCTATCATGTTTTTTAATTTCCCACGTGGTGTTTACCCTTATATATTTAAAGACTGTTTTCTTCCCTTTGTTAGAATGTAGGCTTCACAGGGGAAGTGTGCTGGGCATAGCAAAGGGACCTGATGAATATTTGCTGAATCAATGATCTGAAATCTGGATCTAATTCTAGCCAGCAATTGAAAGAAAAAGTTTTCATAATTAAGCACATAATAAATTCAAGCAACTCCCTTTCTTTTTATAACACAGCTGTACTAAGGCAGGAAAGCATATTCTTTTGAAACAATTCTAGCTTAGCAAATAGGAAATACATTTACCTTATTATTACATCATAGGAGTCGATTTTTTCTCCTAATGTCTTATTCTTCAAAACTCCTCCATTTCCAACCACCACACACTTTTTACATGGCACGCTGTGGGGCAAATAGACAAGTGAGAGACTGAGCAATCTTTTGCCAGATGGGATGGTTCCAAAAACTTGTTCCTCCTTTCAAGAACCCAGTGCCAAATTTCACTTGTTGCATAAGTAGAGAAAGAACCAAAGAATTGTGACAGAGGTCTAGATATGTATTAGATAAGAAATTCAATAAATAGCATACTACGGTAAGTTAATAATTGCTGTAAATAATATATTCTTATCAGCACATATACATTTGATTCACATAACTATACCCTGAAATAAGTATCCTCATTATACAAATGAAGAAAGCAGCTTAGAAACCTATTACATATCATTTCAAAGTCACACTCCAGAGAGATTAAACGAGCACTTGGATCTGGACTATACAAACAACCCTCCAACTCTCTATGTTGATATTAAAAAAAGTATGTTTTCATATGTGGGTACTATTAAAAAGTTCTTAGAAAATGAAATTTGCAGTTTATTCTCATGTAAAATATTTTTTAAATCCATGTACAAGAAATCTTCAAAAAGTTCACAACAAATGTGTCTAATAAAAAACTGAGTGGATTTCAAAATTTTTTGCACCAAAATAAATCTTTTAAGTCTATTTTCTACACACTTTCCTGAAACTCCCTCATATATTTTTTAACAGTGCTACCCTTTACTTGAAGATTGTACCTCTGGCTCTCTCTTTTACATTTTAAGCGTGGAGATGGACAATTTGCAATCTGATGGCCACGTGTAGCTTTCTGTATTCTGTCCATGCTCACTTGAATTCCCTAAACATGGACTGTTGTTGGCAGTTAACCAGTACAAACAAAAACTTCACTGTATGTTCCTGAATCAGAACCACAAGATAGGCCACAAAGGGGGACCTCCTGTTGCCAGCTGGGGTCTGCCTAGAACCATAGATCATATACCATTTGCTCTCAGTAAACATGGCCTTGGCCCTTCTGTCACCCAGCTCTTACAACTGCAAGAACAGGCCAGAGAAATGACAAAAATAGGTCCTGTCCCTCTCTTCCAGGAAACAAAACTGCAGAAGGGAAGGCTGTTGAGGTTGCCATTGTAGGGCATGAAAAGTCTGAAGAAAAACAGTGTTCCTCAAGAACCATGAAATTAGCAGACCTCAAAGCTTTTAGGAAATGAACAAGTAGCAAAATTATATAAATGCTATAAAATCCTAAATCCTAGAGGTTCAGGAACTATTTAGAAGAGCCAACCATTGGCCTTTTCAGATTAATAAAAGAGAATGTACACATTTTTGCACTGTAAGTTTACTTCTTTAATGGAGAATTTGTATAGCTCATCTAAATTTCAACATAAAACACTTTTGGGGGCTGCTTCCTGCAGCACCGTCATCCTGTATGGGCGCTGGTTCAAGTCCCAGCTGTTCAACTTTGGATCCAACTCCCTGCTAATGTTCCTGAGAAAGAACCAGAAGATGGCCCAAATCCCTGAGCCTCTGCTACCCACGTGGGAGACCTGGAAGAATCTTCTGGCTCCTGGTTTCAGCCTGGCTCAGCCCCAGTTGGTGTGGCCATTTGTGGAGTGAACTAGTGGATGGAAGATTTCTGTCTCTCCTCTTTTTCAAATAAGTAAGTCTTTAAAGCAAAACACACACAAGTTTCTACTCATTTTAATTGAGCTCTCTTAGCTCTCAAATATTAGAGTCCTGCCTAACTTGGTTTCTACTTCATCAGACAACAACAAGTACGATGAGATTCACGGGAGGCAGGGGTCGGGGAGTAGAGGGTGGAAAGGCATTGGAGGGTGTGCTGGAAACCTCCCATCATGGACTTGTTCCAGGTCACAATATGTTCCAGAGGTGTTTATTTTTGAAATCTGTTTTTAACTAAGAAAACAATATATCTCTCTGGACACTTTCATAAACAAGTTTGACTTCAATCCCAAATTCAGGAAGTCAACTTTATTCAAATTCCTCTTTGCTGGGGCCACGTTGAGATGGGAGCATTGTTGGATATTCAGAACCCTTCTTCTCAGGGTCTGGTGGCCATGATCCTCACCAGACACATCCCAGGAAGGCTCTCCAGCAGGGGACAATGCATTCCCACACCCACAGCTTGCAAGGCCTTTCCATAACCTTGCGGTCAGTGTCACGCACACCAGAGGCTGAACCTCCTGAAGCTGGCTCCATCTTTCTGCAGAGAATGCTAGACAATGGAGGGGTGGCTAAGAACAGATAGGATTGAAATAACAACAGTTTGTATTAGATAACCTGCATGGAGTGAGGCATGAATATCTGTAATAATGGTAACTAGCCTAACTGTCTCACTCCAACGGAGGCTGGCCTAGTCCCCTGTGGAGGGGATGAGCTCCCTTGCCCTGAGCTCAGGTGCACCTGGGGCTCAAGCATCCATGCCAGCCTGGAGTCGCCCATCTGACACCAGGCTACGTGGCTCCAACTATACCAGGCCTGTAGAGGCAAAGGCCAGATGTGCAAGCCACCAGCACATTTGCAGGGTTCTCCTGGAAACTCAACAAAGGACTGCTGCCCCACAAGGAGAACATTGAGCACATGATGAGGATCATATATAATTCTAGAAGCCCTTTTGAGAGTGTGCCCAGGACTACTCTCTGCCAATCTTATCTACCACTAGTAGCCATAGTTCCATCATGGCTCTTGAAAAATACAAATAGTACAGATAAACTCTCTGAACCACATCCCTCACAAGTCATGGCTTCCTCTGTGTCTCCCCAGCAGGTACCCACATGCTACGAAAAGTCTCATTTATTCTTCCTTGATTTCATCCAGTTGGTCTGGGCTTCTGTATGCCCCTGCCTCCTTTGGTGTACAACAGTGACTTCTGGTGTCCTTTGGGTGACTGTTTAACTTCACCACATTTAATTAATATAACTTTGATGCACAAATAGCTGCAATGAATTGTGAGTCCCCAGAAACAAAAACAGCAGTATCACTTATATCTCTGTATCCTTCCAGTTACATCTTCCCGATTCATTGGCATTTTAGAAACCTGCTTGGTTGTGACACTGAGTGTGTGGAGGTCATTTTCTTACTTTGTGTCTGCAGAAGCAGGTACCTGTAACTCCTCCCCCAACCTTGGAAACTGGGAAGGCTATGCACATGATCCAAAAAACTGTTCACCCAGAAAACAAAATAATTCCAGAGTGCCTGAACCTGTTAATGGAAAATCTGCAAAGCTACTAAAACAGTAGTGGTGAGAGATTCTACTTCCCCCAGGTGAAAGACATGTATGTCACAAAGTTAGAGCCAGAGGAGACCCTGCTGTGTGCACAGGGAAATGTCAACACAATCAGTACAGAGAGTCAACTTCAGTTGCTCCTTTCAGAGGATCTTCTTTTCTGAATGCTTTTTGGCATTCACTTACCCCCTCTTCAGTGTAACAGTCCATGGCAGACCCTACTGGTCATAATCCCACACCATCACACTGTGTGCCTTGCTAGCCCTGCCCTGCTAAGCCTGCACTGGTGAGCTCCTTTCTGCTGCCAATTGTGGGTTTCAAGATAGCCATGTGCCTATGGGAAGTAAGAAATTACAGCAGTCTGCTTCATGCTTTTGGAAAGACTTTTGCCCCTGGTAGAAGAATGGTTGAGCAGAACATTCTCTTTTCAGCCACTCCTTCCTTTTTACCTAGATGTGACACAGCCATCTTGCAACTCTGAGGAGAAGAGTGTCACAGAAGAGCGATGCTGGAGCCTTGCCATCACGGAGCCACTAAGGGAATCCCACCACCAGAAGCACTTCCAGCAGATGTTCAGGTTGTACAAAGTCCAACCTCAGGGAACACCATTCAGACAACTAAGTGGGCAACTGGCACTCCATGGAGTTGTGATCTGCAGTGTGCGAAGCTCTGAGCAGGATGCCTGGCCTTCTGGAACTGTATTGCTATGCAATATGGAAGATAATAAATGTTCTTTTTGTTTAAAGCACTCTTAGGAAACTATCACTTGCAGCCAGAAGACTTAAAACACAATAAAAGAGACCTAGGGGTGGAGAACTGGCTTCTAGTTCTGGCTTAGCACCTCTGGGACCTTGGCCTAGTGACCCGACTGCTCCGTTTTCCTTTTTGTGAAGTCAGAGAATCATTGAAGCCTTGACTGTTGTTCTCTTCTGTGACCCTTTCCTCTGGCCTGTATCCCACGGTATCTGTCTCTTTACCAGACACCTGACCCCACAGATGTAGGCAACAGGCTACGGCCACACCTGCACCTTCACTACATGTGACTCACTGTTGATCAGAGTTTCCCTTCAGCCTCCAGTTCTCCCTGGCTGAAAGGGTGCAGTGTAGAGAAACTGTACAGAACAGAAGGATGTCTAGAGTATGGACACAGGCATTGATATGCCTAACAGAATTGAGACTCCTTTCAATACCTACACTGCTAATGTATATTTCTTTTTCCTTTTTCTTTTTTTGTTTTTACATTTTCTAAGGGTATGTTCCTGCCCTGGCTGTTAGCCAATCTAACCCAGCTGTATTGGTGCTGACATAATGAATTCTGCTTGAGTGACCAACCGGATAGCTTCTACAAATCCCATCCATGCAGCAGCCAACTGACTTGTCACAGGTGCATCTGTTATGTGTAGTTATTGAATAACCACCTATTTTCCAGAAATAACGCATTTGCCACCCAATCTGGTCTGTTTTCAGAAGACAGCAGTAGGGTTGGGAGTAGGGAGCTGGTTTGTGCATTTCAAGTAGGGGCAAAGATTCTGTGCTTCAGGGCTTCTGCTGCTTCTGGCTTGCAGAGGATGAGCGCCCACTGATGAGAAAACAACAATCCCAGGGACGAGGATACTATGTATTACCATATTTTTTTGCTGAATTCCCTTAAACAAATCCTTAATCTATAGCGAAGTTGGTTGAACACAGTAGCGCTATGTTAATGTGTTTTGGAGAATAAAGTGAGAAACAGGAGGTCTTGAGAAATCAACACCAGCAGCATAAAGCAAAGATGCCCCGAGCTGTATGTAATAGGGCAGATTTATATAATTGACTTCGGAATCCTGAAGGTGACCAGGCACAGAAATAGATGGGACCAGGAAAATAATGGCATTTACTAGTAAGGATGGCTATATGTTTCAATAATGTTTCCTTTATCCCTTACAATAGGACTCACTGTTTTTAATGCTGGGCACAGAATCATCTGCAATAAAGGCTACATTTTCTAGTCCACCTCTCAGCTCAGTGGGGCCTTGTGATTGACACCTACCCAATACTATGTAATCAGCGGTTGCCAGTAAATGTTTACCAATCAGTTCTTTAGGGTAAGAAGGGGGAAAGCCCTGGTATGTAGCATTTGTCAATTCCCTTGGAAGTATTCTATGCGATTTCTGAAAGATGTACTTAAGGAAGAAGTAAGTTTTAAACGGTGGGGACATGCCTTTGCCCTTTCCTTATCACCACTGGCAGGAACAAAGAAGTGATAGATGGAACGCCAACAATTTCATTGGACCCTATGGAGGAAGCAGTATATATTAAGGATTGGCAGAGGGGCCAGTGCCGTGGCTCACTTGGTTAATCCTCCGCCTGTGGCACCGGCATCCCATATGGGCACCGGGTTCTAGTCTCGATTGCTGCTCTTCCAGTCCAGCTCTCTGCTGTGGCCCGGGAAGGCAGTGGAGGATGGCCCAGGTGTTTGGGCCCCTGCACCTGCATGGGAGACCAGGCAGAAGCACCTGGCTCCTGGCTTCAGATCGGCACAGTGCCAGCTGTAGTGGACAACCAACAAAAGGAAGACCTTTCTCTCTGTCTCTCTCTTTCTCTGTCTTTAACTGTCAAAAAAAAAAAAAAAAAAAGGATTGGCAGAGACACAACAGGGAAGAAGCATTGGCCCAGATCGATCTCTGGATTGTTAACCTGCAAACATCATAGACCTGAAGGATGGGAGAAAAAGAAAAATATCTTACAGACATAACTGTCATAGTGGCATCTGTCCCAAGAGAGGGCCTCATGCATACTGGACAAGATATCTGAACAAAATGATCACATTTATCTGGTGGAACCTTCAAGGATTTGGGTGCATAACAAAAAGAAGTATGAGCCATTCTGAAAGGAACAAAAAGGATAGAGAAAGAATAAAATTTAGGGAAAAGATCTGTCCTTAGTGGCTGTCTGCAAAAAAAGTCGTGTCTTCCAGAGCACAGGGAAAGAAACAGCCAGCAGCTACATAAACATCAGTAGAGAGTGCAGAACAAGAGTGAAGGGGACTGAACGGGCAGATCTCAGCTGTCTCCACCTCAGCCCCTTGTCTTTGACCTGCAGATGTGTGACCAAGAGCAAACCAGCCCAAGCCAGCAGGCTTCCCCCTGCTCCCAGCTCCACAGGCCGAGGGTTCAGGGAGAGGTCTCTTAGCCATATCTCTGCTGTCCTCAGACATCTTTCTTCCAGAGCATCTTTCCCAGGCCAGGAAGAGAAATGGGAGCCTTGTTGGTCACTTAGGGGACAAACTGAGTTGACTAGGTGGCAATATTTAGGCAGATTAGTGTATTTTTCCTCTCTACCATTTGCTGGAAATGAATTGCTCAGGTAACTAAAAATAAATTTTTAAAAATTGCATTGTACTTTGTCAAACACAAAATGGCTTATGGCTTATTTAAAATATAGGTAAAATTTGGTATTATAAGTGAATCCTTCCCAAAAATTACCATATCCTTATCTATTTTCAAAATAGTCTTTCTGAAATCTCTGGAGAACAAGTATGTACAAGTCAAACAAACAATTCAACAAAGCTGACAAAGCAACACTGCTCCTCAGTGGAGACCCTACAGGGATATTTGCCTTTCACTATGTAAAAGCCTCTGACCACACATTTACTCCCACTTATGTCTCTTGGCAACTTCAGACAAAGCACTGTTGTGCAGTCAATACGACCCTGCCCACCAACCGCACTCCACTCCCTCCCAATACAGGTAAAGCTAAGAAATGGGCATAGGCTAATAGTGGATAATGGGGAGGGGCACACTCTCCGTGACCAAAGGGAAAAAGAGGGAGGAAGGCAACAAGACCAAGTTGGCAAGAAGACAGGAAATAGCCTGGCCAAGGCACATAGGAATGGATCAGCACCTGCGGGCGAAGCGGCTGTGGAAGCACTCAAAGCACTGTCTCGTTCTAAGAAGCCAAGCAAGGACGAAACTTCTAGTCAGATACGCTCAAGCATCCTGACAGGATCTCACATGTACAGGGCCACGATCTACAGATGTTTGAGACACTTGCTGCAAGCATACAAGGAACGGTCATCACCATTCCTAACTCCAGGCGCTGGAGTTAGAACATTGTAGGTGCATGTCCAAGCTCTGGCATTTACCAGCTGTAAAAAACTATATCCATTTATCTAGCCTCAGTTTCCCCACTTAAAAATGAGAGAGAATTCACGTGAAGTACATGTTTAAGGTCTGTACAAAATAACATTCTACAAATGAGAGCCACATAAAAGTTCAGATCAGAAAAAAGACATGGTTGCTGTTGATAAAGTCAAATTTGATCAGGTGTTTCAAATGATAAATTTTACAAGTGGAGATGAATGAAGGCATATTACATAATCCCCACTTTAACAGTCCAAATCCACGACAGAGAAAATTGAGGTAAACTGGAACTAAACCCAATACCGTTCCTCCTGTTCTGTTCAGAAACTCCATTTCCACTTCCTCATCTCTGCCTCCTACTCCACCTTCTGCACCCATCAAACAGCACCTCTATTCTCTTGGGCAAGAGGGGAAATTCTGCCATGTTCCTTTGTAACAGAGGTCTGACATTGATAATGTGCTCATATTATCAGCCTGGCCCACTAGTCACGTTCTAAAGAATAGATGAACACTTGGTAATAAATCTACCTCTGTAACATGAGTCTACCTACCAAGAAGCTAATCCTTGGCAATTCAATTTCTATGGGATTCACTTGACAAGAAAATTTTCTACAAACTAAATTACCTTTGTAATCAGAAAATATATTTATGAGCAAGCTGCTACCTTCAAATATAACTCTTTATCGAAAGAAAGAGAGATGCTGACAAAATAAAGTTGAACCTTCCAGACAAGTGAGTCAGAAGAGTCTCCATAAATACTTTGGAGAATGTATGGGAAGGTATGGAAACAGCCAGGAAGGGAGGCTGCGAACTGATCCACAGCAGGTGTTAATTCTTAAGCAGCAACAACTTAGAAAAGATGACGATGGATTAATAGTTTCCTGACTAGGGACTGCTCATCATTAAGATTCTCTACAAACTTTTGAGCCAACCAGTTATACAGATGTTAAGTTAATTTTGTGGTTTATTTTAAGTGTTACAGAAAGAACTACTCAATATTTTAGTATGCACAATGCACAATACTATAGGACTTTCCTGAGTAAATACATTTTACATCCCTTGGGGTACAAATTTGGAACCACCTTACCTAAAGCTACAAGTCAGACAGAAGCAAGGAAGTAAACTCACTTGTCAAACTCATCAAAGAGATCACAACTCTGCAGTTTTGAAAGAGCAAGTCGAAAATATTCCGCTAGAAAACAAATGGAGTATTATGAATAAAAGGACAAACACGGCTTTTTAGGTACATAGTAAGCCATACTGCTTCCTCCCCACCAAATCCGTTTCCAAATGGTATAGCCACATATGATTTATTCTGTGAAATGCTAACGTTATGACTGCAATGAGTCATCATTACCCATTTATGGCACATTCAAAATGCTTCATGTTCTAAAGACACTTTCCAAACCCCCCACCCAAATTAGAAGCTTAATCTAAAAACAGTCATTCCAAAACATCAAGAAATCTGTATTATGAGATAATTCTTAAACTGATGTTAGCACAGAAACATTAAGTTCAAACCAAGTAAATTATCAAATTATTGGCAAAATATTTTTAAAATATGAAAACAAACAGGCAACACCCCAAGATCAGCTGAACAAACACAATGTAATTCACTGAACTATAAACTTATCATGTCTTCAGCTCTTAAGGTCTCTCAAAAATCTAGGACTTATGAGCTAGCATTGTGGCATAGCCAGTTAAACCACAGCCTACAATGCTGGTAACCCATATGGACAGACAGTTCATGACCCAGCTGCTCCACTTCTGGTCCAGCTACTTGCTAATGCACCTGGGAAAATAGTGGAAATGTTTGGGTCACTGCCACCTACATGGGAGACGTGAGTGAAGGTCCTGGCTTTGGCCTGGCACAGAACTGGTTGTTGGGGCTATTGGGGAATGAAACAGTAGATGAAAGATTTTCTCTCTCCTCTCCCCCACCCCCCCGTCTTTCAAATAAATAAATAAATCTTGTAAAAAATTTTTGGACTTAAAGCTATATAAATAGGCCAATCAATTCTAAGTTAGCAGAAGGAAGAGTATTTGTCATTAGAAGACAAAAATAACATACACATTGATTAAATTAAACTATTAAGCAAGGAGCTGGCACTGCGGCTCACTAGGCTAATCCTCCACCTGTGGCGCTGGCACCCCAGGTTCTAGTCCCGGTTAGGGCACCGGTTCTGTCCCGGTTGCTCGGTTGCTCCTCTTCCAGTCCAGCTCTCTGCTGTGGCCTGGGAAGGCAGTGAAGGATGGCCCAAGTGCTTGGGCCCTGCACCCACATGGGAGACCAGAAGCACCTGGCCCCTGGCTTCGGATCGGCGCAGCGCGCCGGCTGTAACAACCATTTGTGGGGTGAACCAACAGAAGGAAGACCTTTCTCTCTGTCTCTCTCTCTCTCTCTCATAGTCTAACTCTGCCTGTCCAAAAAAAAAAAAAAAAAAAAATTAAGCAAGGCGTGGAGACTTGCTGATAAAATAAACAAAATAGGGGCCGGTGCTGTGGCATAGTGGGTAAAGCCACTGCCTGCAATGCCAGCCTTCCATATGGGTACCAGTTTGAGTCCTGGCTTCTCCAGTTCCAATCCAGCTCTGTGCTATGGCCTGGGAAAGCAATGGAAGATGGCCCAAGTCCCTGGGTCCCTGCACCAGCATGGGAGACCCGGAAGAAGCTCCTGGTTCTGGCTATTGCGCCCATTTGGGGAGTGAATCAGCAGATGGAAGACCTCTCTCTCTCTGTCTCTCTAGCTCTCTCTCTAGCTCGTTCACTCTCTCTCTCTCTGCCTCTCTGTTGCTCTGCCTTTCAAATAAATAAATAAATCTTTCAAAAAATAAAAAGAAATACATAAAATAAAACTGACAGGTAAAGCAGTGAAATGGGGGAAATTGAGAGTAGGGGTGACAACTAACCCTCAGGGCTATCATGTTAATTCTAACAGACAATAAAGTAAGGCATCAGAATTCATTAATCACACAGTGACAGAATTAAAAAACAGTTTCTCATAACATAAAAAAAAACACTTTCTTTATTGTTTCTAGTCTACACTGCATTCAAAGGAGTGGAGATTTCTATTTAAAAATGTAACTCCCTTCATCCCATCCCAAAATCATACCACCTAGGAATCATTGGGAAGCCGAAGGATTCAAAGGCCTTAAGTTTACACAAAGCAGTGAGTCTCATCAAACACCACTCAACTTTAACAAGGCAGGGTAAGAATAACACCACTGACCTGTTGTTCTTATCCCATAGGGCAAATCAAACTTATCACTACCATACAAGGAAGCAATCTTTTTAAAATCAGCTGCACACAGAAAAGGGTGAAACTGACGAAACCTGGAAGGAAAGGATAAAGAAAAATCTTGTCAAATGCTTTAAAATTGCAGCCGAAACTAACTGAAGTATGTAAGTCACGTTGTTTGACTGTAGGTAAATGCAGAATTCAAATTTTTTAGAACTAATTTTAAACTGTATTTAAGATTCCATGGAATAGGATGTGCAATGGAACTACACAAGAACAGAAACACTCTCCAAGCACTGGAATCTAAACATTACACCTTAGGGAATGAAAACAAAATGTAAAAGCAAACCAATCAGAGCCTTATACACAAAGAAAAGAAGTAATAAAAGTACTGATACCAAGCCATCCCTAAATTTAAAAGTATCATTTGTATATGCCTGTATCAGCTGTGAAAACAAAAATGGGTCCAAAGTTAGATTTGGCTAGAACCCAACTTTTCCTACTTTTGTTAAATTACGATTTACCCAAGAACAAGAATTATGGCATTTGTCTTTTTTCTGTGTGCTTTTCCCTTCGCACAAGGGACAAAGTTTGATGAAGGCAGGACTATCCGTGGTCTTTTCTCATTGTTAGAGCCTGGCACAGACCAGGCAGGCAACACAAGGTTATTAAGTGATTAAATGAATCTCAACTCCAAATCAATTGTCTGAGGAACTGTTAGGGTTTGAATGTGTCCTCCACGAGTTCTGTATTGGCAACATGGTTCCCAATGCAACCATGTAAGAGGTTGTGGGACCTTTCAGAGGCAGAGCCTAGTAGTAGGTCACTGGGGACATTGCCCTGGGAAGTAATTAACATTGTTCATGTGGGATTCCAGTTAGTTGCTGCCAGAGTTATTAGAAAAGAGCAAGACTAGCCTCCTCCACTCTATGGCTTTCCATGTCACCAGGTGCTCTCCCTTTTACACACATTAACACCATATTCCCACCTGGCATGACCTGGCACAGCAAGGCCAGGCAGGTGGTCCTCGCCAGAGCCTGCACTATGTGTTTTCAATTTTCAGCCTCCAGCACTGAGCTAAAAAAAATCTCTTTTCTTTGTAAAGTGTCCAGCCTCAGGTGGTTTGTTAAAGCAATGGAAAGCAAACTCCTATACGGACCATTATGAAACAGGAGGAAAAAAATAAGGTTTAAGTTTTATTTGGGAAAAGGAAAGTGTCCTAAAATTCACACTAAAAAGCTGTTTTCACCACCGGAAGGACTGCACACTGCCTACACACCACAGGACAAATCTAGCTAATCCTTACCGCAGCCCCACATCTGGTACCATCTCTTCTGTCATGGCAGGTTTTTGCTTTCCTAGTCTAAAACCTGCAGGTGGAGACCAGAGTGATGCTGACGTTTCAGAAGGCTGTAAGACTGACCAACTAGAAATAAAAAGCAGGTCAGCCAGCGTAAAGTAGCTGCAATTTTATCCTAGCTTTGCCACTCAGGAGCCACTGGACTTGGGCAAGTCACAGAAGCTTATTGTCCTCAAAGTGGAAAGAAGAGCTCACTCTGGGAGCCAGCACTGTGGCATAGCAGGCTAAACCCCTGCCTGCAGTGCCAGCATCCCATATGTGTGCTGGTTCTAATCCTGGCTATTCCTCCTCTGATCCAGCTCTCTGCTACGGCCTGGGAAAGCAATGGAATCTGGCCCAAGTGCTTGGGCCCCTGCATCCATGTGGGAGACCTAGAGGAACTCCTGGCTCCTGGCTTCAGATCAGCCCAGCTCCAGCCCTAGCCGTTGAGGCCACTTGGAGAGTGAACCAGCAGATGGAAGACCTTTCTCTCTGTCTCTCTCTGTGTGTCACTCCACCTATCAAATAAAGTCTTAAAAAGAAGAGAGAGATATCACTCTGCAGTCAGGCCAAGGAAACCAGGAGAGAGACCAGATCTCCCTGCCGGAGATATGGAGCACATCCCAAATTCAGTTGTGATAATGAATGCAGGAGCCTCAAGGGTCCAGCCAACCTACAAAAGTTCTTTCTATAGCAATGTTGATACTCGAGTTCAGGATCTGCTTTGGGAAGAGGAAGCATCAGGTCACCTTCCTGAGGGTTGGGAGGCTCAACAGCCTCTCTGTCTTACTTGGAAAACTGAACCCTAGATAACTGCATCAATGACGACTTTCTTCTGAGTCGCTGAAAGTGTTAATGATAGTAACTAATTACTACTGTCTATTCCCAGTCAGGACCTTGTTCTAGGTGACCCACATTTTATTTCTAAATAATTCTTTGGCATCAATTTCAGCCATGGCAGGAGCTGGATAAGTAGCAACCTTATCTGGAACATTTGTTACATTACATTGTATTACATGTATGATATTACATCACAGTACATTGTATTACATTAGATTCCTGTGACTGTCATTTCTACAAAGGCCTGAAAAACATGGCAAAATGAAGCCATCAATGTGGGTGAAGCTGAGGCTATAGGAAGTGAAGCAACTCCTCTGAGGTCACTAAGTGAAATTCACTCCCAAGCCTAATTCTAAGGGAAGGAGTCCTCTGTAGCACTCTGCAGGCAACGGCTGGCTCCATGTTTCCAAGCAGAGTGTCTCCTGATGGCTGCTGCTTCTGCTCCATGGCTGAGAACTAGCACACTTCAGAAAATTGCCCTCATGCTGCTCACATGACAAATGCAAATCAGTTGTACTCAAACTGTAGCCTGCTGAGCATTCTTGCATAAATACTTTAACCTTTTCCCAATTTTCACAAAAAGGAAATCTTTGTTCATTAAAGTCACAGAGTACCTTGATTCTAAAGTAGTATTTTCATCTGTAGTCCACAACTCATAAATGGCTCAGGAAATCAATATTGTATCATGATCAGAATATTTTTTTAAAACTAAATAGAACAGAATGCAGGGTATCTGGACTACAAAGGCTAAAAATGTTTTGTTTTTCTTATTAGAAATATGAGTACAGGACCAAGAGGGAAACCTGTTGGAGTGAGGTGGACACTATGGGAAACGGTGGCTTGATCAGCATAGCCCTGACTGTTAATGAACAAATTAATACATTATCCCTCTTGGTAGTTTTTTTATCTGTTCTACTTAATATGACTGGTTTAGATCTGTAATTGATGCACAGTTATTCTTAAGTGTTGAAAATTAACTGAAATGTGATCCCTGTTGAACATGGTGGTGGGAATGGGAGAGGGAAGAGATGTATGATTTGGGACATGCTCAGGCTGACTTGCCCCAAGTGGTGGAGTTGGAAGCATACCAGGGGATTCCAATTCAATCCCATCGAGGTGGCATGTACCAATGCCATCTCACTGTTCCAGGTGATCAGTTTCAGTTCACAGTTGGTCATGGTGGGGGGACTGGGAGTCAAAGGGAGCACATAGACAAGTCTAGTATCTGCTAACGCTAACCGATGGAGTAAATAAAGGGGAGAGTGATCCAACATGGGAAGTGAGATACTCAGCAGACTCATAGAATGGCAGATGTCCTAAATAGCACTCTGGCCTCAGAATCAGCCCTAAAGGCATTCGGAGCTGGCTGAAAAGCTCATGAGAGTATTTCAGGCATGGAAAGCCAAGACACTCTGGCAAAAGATCTCTGCGAGTGAGATCCCAGTGGAAAGAACAGGTCATCAAAGAAGGAGGTACCTTTCTCTGAAGGGAGGAGAGAACCTCCACTTTGACTATGACCTTGTCTAAACAAGATAAGAGTCAGAGAACTCGGAAGGGGAGAGGGAGTGGGAAAGGGGAGGGTTGTGGGTGGGAGGGACGGTATGGGGGGGAAGCCATTGTAATCCATAAGTCGTACTTTGGAAATTTATATGCATTAAATAAAAGTTTAAAAAAAAAAAAGAAATATGAGTACAGGATTCCAAAGTAAAATGAGATGAGAGATGGTTTAAAAAAAAAAAAAAAAAAGCTTTACAAAAACCTTTCTCATTGTGCAGTAGTCCAAATAGGACACACACCCAGGGATAGGTGACAAACATTGTATGCAAAAACAACTCGATGTGTGCACACTTTTCTTTAGAGAGCTGATTGATTTTAAAGGAATCTCGAAACCCAAAGCATTCAGAACTGATAATGGACAGGCACAGTATGACGGGAGAATTTTGTAAAGTTTGTGGTAAAATGGAAGTAACAGTTCATTTTGGAGCAAAAAATATTTGAAACCCACATGTAGTTTTCTCACATATTCCCATGAGCTCTTTGTAGAACCCTTTGTATATTTGAAGAAAGTATGAATTCTTAATGCTTAATGGAAAAAGGTTAAAGAGCCTGTGCCTGTTTTACACAATTAAACACGCCCAGACCAGGCTGTCATTTACTTCCTATTATCTTGAAGCATTGTGACCAGTAATCTGAAAGTCAGGGTGCAGTGGAAAAGAGCATTTGTGGTTGGAAGAGCAAATTCTCGGCAAGTACTGACAACCACAATGTGTAATGATTATTTACATTTTATGTAGTTCACTAACAGTAAAAAGAGAAAATTTCTAAGCACAAGATTTAACCTAGAGGCAAGGGGGGAAGAAACCACCAAAAAAAAAATAAATAGCAGTACAAATTAACTTGGGGACAAGGAGAAAAACAGAACCCCAAAGAATGTTTCTACTTTTTTATAATCAAACACAAATAGTCCTCTCCAATGTCACCTGTGTGAAAAGAACACTGGTTTGATTGAGTTCTTCAATGCTTTTTCTTAAAACACATGCAGAGCTCTAAGAACACAAATAGAGACAGGATATTCAAGCTCTTCCTTAAATTTGGGGCATCCACTTTATACTAAGATTCATAGGGGTAAGTTAAACAAGTATAGGAAATGATTAAAACAGCTTGAACATTCTGTATGCCACAGGGGTTTGTTTGGCTGGTTGGTTTTCATCTTGTGTATTTTTACCTCAGGAGGGAGGCAAAAGCTGGCTTTGATAAACAAGGCTGGATCTTATTTCTCCGCTTCATCTCCACAGGTGGAACCCTACAAGACAAAAATAGTGTCGGTCAGAAACCAGAACTGGGCAGCCCGCCCAAAGGGAAGCAAATGCCCTGGGAACCACTCAGTGCCACTACAGTTCCTCCCAGCAGCCCCTCGGGTCTGACAGGACCTCTTCCAAGTCCAGCAGCCCTTGAGGACTCATGGTCATAAGGCAGGGGACAGGGGGAAGGCCGAGATGCCCGGTGACCCAGAAGCGATACACAGAGCCGTGATTCAGGGGGCCCCGAGGGAAGACTAGAATTGCACACTGCGGAAGCCACACCAGGCTTGCTTCATATAAGCCCCTCAAAGCCTGAGAAACCAAACTCAGCTCAAGTGCACACATCAGGGGTATCTACTGGCAACAAACACCAGAAACACCTGCCCTGAGCAAGTCCCACAGACCCGGCCTTGTGATCCTGTGGATTCCACACGTCACACTGTTTGGAGCCCGCACCGACACAGGTTAGGCCCTTGTGCATCTCCTGAAAGGAGTACTTGTCTCCACAGTTTAAAGGGGTGTTGTCAAACATGACAGAGCCCAACAATTAAAATAAATGAAGAGGGTGTGGGGAGGCAGGATCTAGACTTAGCCAAGAAAAATAGCTTAACACAGGAACTTACTAATGGTCACCAGTTATGTAAAGAATCAATATATAAGAAGAAAATTGGTGAATTTTCTTCTATAATCAGCAGGATTAAAACAAAGAAATAGCCTAAATAAACACAACTTCCTGTCGTGTGTGTGTGTGTGCGTGTGTGTGTACAAAATCCCCCATAGTTAGAACTGCTTCATGTTCATATATAAGGCTAATAATGTCCTCATGCAGGGAAACCTCTTTTGTAAATGTCACAAATGGCAGGGACCCCTTGGGTTATATGTAGAGAAGATGCATAAACATGGTAGACCAGCACAGGAAGCCACAAAAACTGAATTACATTCAGAGGACAAAATGAGGTATATTATTTTATGTATAATTTGAAGTCAATTAAACAAAAAAACAAACTTTTAGGATATTGTAAAGACAAATTTTGGAATTTTTTTTTTCAAAAGGATAATTATCTGTCTGAGATAGCCTTTAAGGAAGCAAGTTCATGGCAGAAACACTCATCGGGGTGGTTTCCCACGGTACTTTCTGAGACTGGGGTAATGTGTTAGCTTAATTTGGACAGTCCTCAAATTCTGATGACAAAAGACTGTGCTGAATTCAGACCCTTTTCATTATCTTCTGTTTCATTCCCCTGTGACCAACAATAGAAATTTATAGGAAAGCAGCAATCTAGTAAGCTTTTTAAAGGCTTTCATTTCTATTTTTGTCTCCTACTACCAAGTGTGGGACAGAGACAGGATGTGACAGAGACAGAGAGATAAAGCCTTGTGGTACAGACTTCAAAGGGCTGTAGCCCGAAATTTAGGTCCAAAGTCTAAAACTTCAGGGCCAAACACATCCACTGGGCATTGGAGTTTTTCTGATGGTCACTTGCCTAACTCCCTTCCATGAGAAATATTAAAATTATTCAATCAAGTAGTGATGAAATTAAATGCAAACACATCATTTTTTAATCTCCTAAGCACAAGCTAAAAACATGATGTAGGACCTATTATTGAAACGCTGGCAAAAAAAAATACTGACCCTTTGTCTAAGACAGGAAGCTGCCATGTGGTTTATTTGGATTTAATTATGTACTACCACCCATTCAAGATCTAAAGGTCATCAAAACTTTTTTCTTAGCCGAAGGACTGACAGTGGGAAGGTTAAAAAACTTGGAGATGCTTTCTCTGCAGGAAAACTATCTGTGCCTCTTCAGTTTCATATGTGATATTTCAAGTCAAAGCTATTTAAAAGGATACGTATGTCACCATTTACCAAGTATTTTAAACAGAAACCATATGCAATGTCCATATTTTATCAACAATCTCTTATCCAAGCATTTTGGTCTCTAAAGTCAAGTTATCACTGAATTGTAAAATTACTCCATTAATTCAAAGGGATGAATAACCACATAATTAGAGAACGTTATGTCCCAAAGATGGTCAATCCCATCCTTTCCCTGGAGAGGCGAAAAAGGGCTTGCTTGCCAGTTTTTAAATTGTTACAGATATAACCTATAGGACACTAGAATGCTAAAATCTCAATTTATAAGGTAAATCTAGAGAAGAGTCAAAATGTTACAATGTCATAGGCTTTCTTTTTTAATAGGTTCCTCCAATACAGTGTGTGTGTGATGGGGGAATGAAAGAGACAGATAAACATAATTCCCAAACTAGTGTATAAATAGTAAAGTGAAACTTACCAGTTGGCATTTGTTCCCCATAATATACAATGCAGCACATAATAGAGGAAGACAGCACTCAGAAATATGGCCACGAGGTACCCTCTCATGGCTGGCCCACCTGAAACACAACAGGGAAGTCCAAAGACAAGTGAAGACTGTTAGGTAGATTCTCACAGTGACTCAAATATAAACACTAGTGAATAAGCATATATAGAAGGAATAGAAGAAATGATGTGGGCCTTTAATTTTGGAAATACTAAAAAATGTACAGAAAAAAAGAAAACATGTTTCTTCTGACTGTCCTCTTGTCAATGAATCCAACACAACATGAGAAGTTCTTATACCAATGTACAGTCCCATGGTTTTCAAGATAGGGGCTTCCCTACTACTTTCTCAAGTTAGGTAAGAAATAAAAGCAGCAAAGGATGGCCCAAGTGCTTGGGCACCTGCTCCCATGTAGGGGACTTGGACGAAGCTCCTGGCTTCGGATCAGCTCAGCTCCAGCCATTACAGCAATTTGGAGAGTGAACCGGGGATGGAAGACCTCTCTCTGTGTGTCTCTACCTATCTCTAACGCTTTCAAGTAAATAAATCTTTTAAAAAAAAAAAGAAAAACATTCCTTCAGAACAAAATTTTACACATCTGCTCCATATCCAAAACATTTTTCAGAAACACAGATGAATATTCATTTTGTCCCTCTCATCAGAAAGTGAGAGTACATACCTTAAGATGTGAATATTTCATCAGTACTTGAAATGACTTTTAAATTATATATATCCTATAATTTATATGATTCGATTTTCCAATTTTGAAAAGCTGAAGAAATAAAGCTACTAAAAATATTACCCATACCATCAATTTTTATATACTTCTAGATGACTGATTTAATTTTTCAACCTTAGCATGGTGTAGTAAGCCAAGTACTTGCTTGTTTCTGTTTTGAATTAACAGTATCATTCTTTGCACATTTGTAGACAGGCAAAAACATGGATATAACCCTCTCTAGAATGTAAGTGTCAAAAAAAAAAAAGAAAAGAAAAACATTATGGAATATATTTTGTAAATCTTCTAAAACACATCTGTTTAGTTCCATTTTTTTGCTTCAAAGCTAACTCTGAAATGTAATTAAATACAAAAACAGATTTAATATATGGTCCCATTACTGATCTATTTCAATGCAAATGACTTTAAATAGGTGAACCATTTCTCTGCCTGCCTGCCTGCCTCATCAAGTTTCTGGTTCCTGTGAACCATTTCATTGTGTGCCCCACTCCTCTCACTTCTACTCCTATCTATTAACTTTCAGCAGGGCAATTTAAACTAGCATATGTGAGTACAAAACATTAGATTATGCAATGTTGCCTCCCTTCAGTAGTGATTTCAAATAGGAATCTTAAAAGTAAACCACTCCCTTGCCTTCTTTAGTAGGATACTCATAAGCTAATCATACTCTAAGCTTATCTTAAACAAATTGGGCTTGGTTTTCTTAGAGTTGAGATCCTCTGGAGTACATGAGGGTGGGAGGCTCTTCTCTAGATAGTTCCAAACCCTAGTGATTATCTGACTTTTCCTGCTCTTTGAGGTTTGTTAGCTGGTACTTCTTCCTACTAGGGCAGCCACCATTCCCACAAGCCACTATTATAAATTAGTTAGAAAGGAAGGCTATGGCATGAGAAAGCAAATAAACAAATGAGTTAAACAAGCAAACTTCAGTGACACACAATTCTAATTTAGCATATATAATCCCCGTGAAGAGTTGACACTTTGGAAATCAGAAAATATGATTCATAGCCCAAGGCCAGATTAGGCTTGGTGGGGTCAGAGGTAAGTCAGTGCTTACCCAAGTGTGTTCACGTGGTTGAAAGTGAGAGCATTTCCTCTACCTCTTCGAGTTATCAGACTGTCCTGGAACGCAGTTTACTGTGGGCCAAAATAGTTAGTAACTACTTGCTTAAACACTCAAACATGTTATGCACCACCAAGAATAACAATTTATGCAAATGTCTAATAAGGATGCAACTTACCAGTATATTCAAAAAACATATTTACATATAAGATAGGATAGTGTATAAAGGTCTAAAGAAAAAAGTTGGTATTTACAATTCAGTTTACTTATCTATTCTCTACAACACATTCTCTGGGTAATTGATACATATTATCTTACAGAGCATGGAGGTGCAGGGAAGCAAGATTTCTGTTCTTTTATTGTCTTTGATTCACTAATAATGTGGCTTAACTGAACACAAAAAAGTTTGGTAGCACATTCTTTTTCCTTTTAAAAGCTAAAATGATACTGCTCTTGAAAAGCCATGATTTATATCATCTGAAAAAATTTTAGGAAGCTTAGCCACTTGTATTTCTGGAGCAACTTAAAGCTTTGATATTCAAGCTGCAAAGTAGGCGAGGGCCAGCAAGGATATCCTTGTGATAAACATATATGGTTCCTCTGCCTGCTCACAGGAAAATGTTTCTATAAATAAATGAATTCCCTAATTATATAATGCTATAATGCTAAAGCATTCAAAGGAAAACCATTTAGAACTTAATATGGGGTGCATGTCATTAAAAAAAAAAGACATAAACAAGGCCCTTGAATATAGCTCTTGTTAGCAAGACAGGATGCAAGACCTTGACATTAAACATGACAGACACTCCTAAAATCAAGAGACCCTAAGACATCTTTTACCAACTGTATGTTACAAAGCTGTTACTCCTTTACAGTGTGGATAAAGGGCAGTGAGGGAGAGCAAGACTCATTGGAAAGGTCATATGTTCATTTCTTCTCAAACTATGTCCTGGATCCCAGCATATGAATAATCCGACATATGCCAAACCTTAATAGTTTTTCCCTCCTAGTTAATAATGAAAGTATGCAGAGTTTTAAAATTCATAAAATGTTGGTATTCCCTTCACTTCATTTAAGACTCAAATTTTGCTTGTTAAATGGTGTGCCTATTTGCTCCTTGAAGAACGAAAAAACTGAAGGCCATTTCAGATCACGTAATCAAAGGGAGACAGAAATAGACTTAAGGCCCTCCATTTCTTTCTTGGAGTTCTATTCTTAGTGTCATCTTGTTTCTCAAGATAAAAGGCATGCGGGAAACCCAAAAGAGACAGTTCTAATCTAAAACTTCCCTTGAGGTACCCAGCTGGCATCTAGTGTGTGGGAAGGAGAAAATCAGAAGCTGCTGGAGGGTGGGGCTCTAAGGCAGTGCAAGGGGCAGTACCTGCGGGGCTGAACCGCTACCTGATCTGGATGGCTATGGCTCAGGAGTGTGGATTTAAACACGCATCCTCCATTTTGACTCTCAGGTACACTAATGTATGAGAACCATGGAGGGGAAACATGCATTTGCGGAAGAAGTACACAGTCCACGACAGACTGTAGAGTAATTTTCCCAAGGAGAATGCGAGCACCATGACAACAATATGGTGTCTCCTCTATCATTTTATTTCCAACACTTCTAATAATATGGACACACAGAAGACTCTAAGGAGATAGCTGCTGAATATAGTTACATATCTCTCAACTGGATGCTTTGCATTCATGCTTTTCCCCTAAATGCCTAGCAGATGGCAAATGCCCAATGAATAATGGCTGAATCCAATCACTAACGTGTATGAGTTCTTGGCACGTGACAAATGCTTTTGGTATATTATCTCATGTCAGGCTGACAATCTCCCTGGGAGGGAAGTAATGAAGTCACAATTCCCACTTTCCAGTTAAGGAAACTGTAGCTCTGGTCTTTTGCACACCACACTAACCATTTCAGAACATGTCTTTTATTTCTTCATCCCACCAGCTTCTTACGCAGTATTAATTCTACAGATTGTCAAAATAGAGTTTTCAGGCTTCGTGATTTAAGCTTTGCTGAAATTCAGCCACAATACTCCGAGCACTCTTCTTCCCAGTCATGCTAGCATTGTTGTAAACACAAAACAATCCCTAGAGAATGACACTGGAAAATGGTCAGATTTTTATGTTGGGCCCTCCTAAAGCTTTTTCAAACCAAAGAAAGCTTGTTTTTCCAACCAGCTACAAACACACACACACACACACACACACACACACACACACACCCAGCAGCATGTTCAGCAATAATTCTGGAAACACTATTCCATTCATCAAGAACACACACCTTGTGGGTATCTCAACATTGTAAATACCAAGGCAGTCTGCCCTCCAGGTGCCGAGCACAGGCACGCCATTCTGTCCAGATCCTCTGTTCCCACTTCCTCTCAACCTAGCTACCAGTGTCCCATGATGCCATCTTCAGGCTCAGCCACGCCAAGCCCTGGAACAGATCCTGGCCAAGGAAATGGATCTTGAGGAGCTCCTGACTAGCAGCCTAACAATTAGGGCAAGTTGCTGTGGATTGCTTACGGGCCATGGACAGCTAATCCACCAAACCTGAGTTCCTGTGTCTTGTTGATGGGTCCTTTTTTGTTTGAGGGAGGGAGGGAGGGAGGGAGGGAGGGAGGGAGAGAGAGCGCGCTTCTGTCTGATGGGCCCTGCCAATGCTGGGAGCTGAGAACTCCATCCACGTCTCACAGGGTGGCAAGTATCCAATTGCTCGACCTATCATCTGCTGCCTCCAAGGGTCCGCATTAGAGGCATGATAGAGTCAGGAGTCAAAAACAGGTATTGAACCCACGTACTCCAATATAGGTCTGGGGCATCCTAATTGGCATCTTAATTGCCAGGCAAAATGCCTGCGCCAGGGATCCTTAAATTGTATCATTTCCAATGCCTGCATTCTTCTTTCTCTAAGCCACCCCATGAGGTTCACAGCCAAACTTCCAATTTTTTAATAACGACAATCCTAAACCTCTCCCCCATCCTCTCTGGGTCAAGGCCCTGCTTCCTCAGTGAAAAGGGCCTTATATTTTGCTACTAGATCTTCACTCTTACAGCACACAAAAATAATTGGCAATCACTTGCATCTTTATGTGAATTAGAACAGTACACCCAGTTTGGCTCCACATTGCCCTGTGGGAATCTAATATCTAGTCTCTTGGCAGCTGCTAGATGCCAGGTGCCCTGTTCACACATCACCTCCACACCCTTACCAGGTGATCCTGGGGACACCTGTGTCCACTCAGCCCCTGGAGAGGCCCTCTTCCTATGAGGCCTCTACCTGTCCTTTGCTAACACTGAAATACACTCAATTGTTTGTGTCCATGGCCAACAGATCTCAAACACCTTGCCTTCCCTCCTCTTGGTACATATTGCCAGTTCGCAATCATTCTCTGTAACCGCATCATCATGTGAACAAAACAACAACAGATTTTCCAGCGCTAGCCACACATGAATGTCTAGATTTGGGGGGCTGAGCCCCATGAGTCTCCTAATCCTAGTCTTCTCAGAACTATCCATCTCCATATAACCCAAATCTTCAAGGAGAAACACAGGACTTCCCAGTGACAAATGTAAAAGCCCCAATGGCCACCCGATTTCCTGTTCTTTTAAGAAGGATCCGTACTACTAATTAGATGGGAGAAATGTGTGTAGGTAGTCTCATTAACACACTAGGGACTTCCAGCCTCCAGCAACAATGCTCACAGAAATAACCGCACACTTTAAGTACTTGCTAAATGCCCAGCCCAGAACCATGCGCTTGTCCACATAATAATGAAAGCAGAGCGACTATCACACATCCCCGTGCCAGAGACATTTAATTCCCAGAGCAGTGACCAGAATTCAATTCCATCTTATTTCAAGGACTGTTGCTTTAAATTATACATTATAAACAACCATAATTATGCTTTTTAAAAATACAACGGTGTAAACTTAAAAATGTATTCACTTACCACAGTTAATATGAATCATATTCACTTAAAGATGTATTTTAAAAATAAGACAAGGGGATGATACACATTAAATGTATGCATTTAGTAAAGCAGTCATTTAGAAAGAACATGCAAAAGTACTCATGTCACAATTAAAAAGTAAATCTTCAGGAATCACTAGATTGGTTCAGCTGGCTGAAAATTGTCACTGCCATAAGAAATAAAGAACTGCACACACAAGGGCTGGAATTGTAACACAGCCAGTTAAGTTGCCTCTTGTTACATCGGCTCCCATATCAGAGTCCCAGTTGGAGTCCTGACTGCTTTGCTTCCCAGCCAGCTCCATGCCAATATGCCTGGGGAAGTGGTAGGTGATGGCCAAAATACTAGGTTCTGGGCTTTGGCCTGGCACAATCCTGGCTGTTGTAGGCATCTGAGGTGTGAACCAACAGATGGAAGGTCTCTCTCTTCTCTCTCTCTCTCTCTCCCCCCTCCTCTCATTCTACCTTTTGAATAAACAAATAAATCTTCTTTTAAAAAAAGCAGAGTTAATCAATATAATATTAACTCAAAAAAGCTAAATTTAATCAGGTTAGGAGCTACTATTCTACAAAATTTTAACAATCTGATATTACTGGGTAAATAGAACATTATCATTTGATTTATGCCTCCTAAAAATGGATCTACATAGTTTCAACAGACTGGACCAATTGTCTATATTCTGACCTGGTTTTCAATACACGGCTGTTCTCTTTCTGCATAGCAGAGGCAGAACATGTGTGATTCCCTTCCTTCCCTTTCGCCAGTTCTCTTACTAATGCAGTGATGGGCAGCTACTTCTCACACACAAACCCATACCCTTCACTTTCTGTCTTTGCAGAAAAGCAGTGCTTTTGCCAGACTTCTTCCTTTGCATATGTAGTCAGATCTTGGCACCTAATTGAAGCTAAACTCTTTCTGCCAAAGCAGATGACCCAGTCTTCCCCAGAACATGTCCTGTGCTCACTGCAAAGAATAAAAAAAAAGGAGAGAAATGACTTTTCAGCAGAATTTTGTTTTTCAACAGTGCAGCTGTATACACTAAAATCACTCAACTAATAGTAACTACACCGGATGCTAGTAATAAATGAACTAGAGTTCCTGTTTTCAAGATCTCTCCTTTTAGACTCTGCTCAATTGCAAGTACACAAGGAAGCTTTTAGAGGAACTTCTTATGCTCCTACTATTTATTCATATTTTCTCCCAGTAACTCCTTTCTTCTCCTAAAGTGGAAAATTTCTGTTTCCTTATACTATTATTCTACTGAAAAAAGTCTCCAAGAAGTATTTCCTATTGTTAATAGGTAGTGATTATGATTCATTTTTACCATCAACTTTACTGAGATAAAAATTTTATATAAAACTCACCACTTTTTACATGTGCAATTTGATGATTTTTGGAAATGTACACAATCACGCAACCACCACGAAAGACATGATACTAAACATTCCCATCAACATCAAAAGTTCCTTTCACCCACTTCCTTGCTCCTAGCAATTTCTCACTAAAGTTTTGCTTTTTCTAAAATTTCATGGAAAAGGAATTATACAGTATATATTTCTGGATTCTTTCACTTAGGATAATGCTTTGCAAAGCATTGCTCACTTTGTTGCTAGTACCAGGCATTTGTTTCTTTTTATTAAGTAGTACATCATATGATTATACCACAATTTGGTTATCAGTTCACCAGACAACAGACATTTGATTGCCTTGCAGTTTTTAGTTAGTATAAATAAAGCTGGATTGAACATTCAAGTCTAACACTTCAGGTGGACATATTCATGTTTTCATGGGTGGTAAAGTAAATGTATGGGCTTATAGAAAAACTTTATATTTCATTCTGGTGCTTATTTTTTAAATATATTCAATATTCATTTGATAGGCAGAGTGACAGAAAAAGATCTTCCATCTGCTGGTATATTCCCCCAAATGGTCACAACAGCCAGATACGGGCAAGGAAGAAGCCAGGAGCCAGGAATTCCATCCTGCTCTCCCACAGGTGTGGCAGGGACCCAAGGACTTGGGCTCTCTTCCACTGCCTTCCCAGGCACATTAGCAGGGAGCTGGATCAGCAGGGAGTAGCCAAGACTCCAGTATATGATGCTGGGGTACGTAAGTGTGGCTTAATATGCTGCACGCCAATGCCATCCCTGGTCCCTGGTGCCTATTTTTTAAAGAACACATTTACTTCAATCTCTTGGCTATAGCAAAAAAAAAAAAAAAAAAAAGAAAGAAAAAAAAGAAAGAAAATCCTCTGCCTATAACAAGTAAAATTATTGATGCTACTGAATAACACAATTCACCCACCAAGATAAGCACTCTCAATCTATTAATATCAATACAATAGAACATACACTTACACATATACATAATGCATATGTACTCTTGGATATAAGAAACAGAGCTCCCAGCCTGGTGAAGGAGGCAAGTTATATTGTTTCAAAATAATTTTGATTATGCTAGGAGAAGTAAAACAAAGTGTGGTCCATGGACCAGCAGTAATGGCATCACCTGGGAAGCTGGCAGAAGTGCGGAGTCTCAGACCCTCCCTCTGAGCCACCGAGTCAGGTCTGTAGTTTAGCAAGATGCCCAGGAGATGTGTGCATGACAGCACTGCTGGAGAAGTCAGAGAAAGAGGACGCATTCCCTTCTGAGGGGGTCAGGCTGCACAGGAAACAGTTCTCAAAAGGAACTGGAAGCTTCTATGTTGTCAGTTACATATTGAAAAGTCCTACAGCTTGACCTTTTAAAATGTCCAATCAGCAGAACTTTCTCAGAAAGTAGTCAGATCCTTTGGAAAAAAAAATGGGTGACTTTGAGGGAAATTTCCCTCATTGTTCTAGGGTATGTTTGTGGTTTCTTCGTGAATTCCCTGGACACGGTCCTTCCAATAGCATTTCCAGTCTTAACCTTCTATCTGCCACCAGAAACACTGACACTGATGGGGTTTTTGAGAGGAAATATGTCTGACTGCTTTCTTCGCACGACACACTCTTACTTCCACAACTCCTAAAAGTACCAGCTAATCACCAGCCAAGTGTTTACATGATCATTTGCAATTATTGCTGTTCACTTGGGCCCAAGAACTACAGATTTCAGAGCTGGAAAGGACAGAAAAGTGGGGGGTATTTAGATAGGGTCAGGCCCCATGCACCCTATTACAGGAGAGCCAGCCATGATTTAAAAAACAAAAATTCAACTTGTCAAAAGTAATAGTGGAGTTGGTAGCACAGGAGAATACTTTTCCATGGGCTTCCATTCAGCACAATTGCTGTCTCATCATGGGTGCCCAGTATTTACTCATTGATGAGAAAGTAAGCAAGCCAGTGAAAGAACGGATGAAAACCTCTAAACCCACTCTGCCTGTGCTTTTAGCTCTCCCTTCATCTTCCCTCCCAAATGCAGGTGTTCAAGCTGTTATCTTAATCATGTTGCCTAAACCCATGCTCTCATTCCTTCTCACCTCAGCTGCCAGCAATGACCTCTAATCCATCTCTTTAAATCAGCCCACATGCTGTATGTGGCATAAAATTCTCAAAGCACAGCTCTCACATTGTCATCCATCCCTAAGAAGACTTTCCCTGACCTCCTGCTGCCTGCCAAATAAACATCACTTAAGCCTACAATTAAGACTTCCATAAGGGCAGGTGTTGTAGCATAGCAGGTAAAGCCACAGCCTGAAGTGCTGGCATCCCATATGAATGCCAGCTGCTCCACTTCTGATCCAGCTCTATGCTGTGGCCTGGGAAAGCCACAAATGCTTGGTTCCCTGCACCTGCTTGGGAGACCCGGGAGAAGCTCCTGGACCCTCTGGCCATTACGGCCATTTGGGAAGCGAACCAGCAGATGGAAGACACTCTTTCTCCCCCTACGCGGCCTCTGCCTTTCAAACAAGTCTTAAAAAAAAAAAAAAAAAAAAAAAAAGACACCACTTGGGATGCCCCCATCCCATATCAGAGTGCCTGGGTTAGAGTCCTAGCTCCACCTGCAATTCCAGCTTCCTGCTAATGCAAGCTCTGGGAGGCAGCAGATGATGATCCAAATTCTTGGGTCCCTGCCACCCATGTGGGAGACCTGGATTGAGTTCTAGCCTCCTGACCTTGTCCTGGCCCAACCTCAGCTATTGCAGGCATTTGGAGGTGAACCAGCTGAAAGAAAATTAATTCTCATTCTCTCTCCCTCTCTTTCTGGCTTTCAAATAAAATGAATAAACTGTAAGAAAATTTTTTTAACATTACATTTCTATTACTGTAGTACCTATTATTTTTGCTCATTCATTCTAACATTTCAAAGTGTCTTGGGCAGGAATCCTTACTTATCTGATTCTGAATATAAAATGAATGGCATCCTAAAAAGCAGTTCATTGGCAAAACTCATCTATTAGAATTAGATGTTAGTTCTGCTGAGGGAAACCACACCTTTTCATGCTTTTCATAATGAAACTACACCGAGGCTTAGTAGAAATAACAAAAACCTGATTTGTAATAAGAATTTTAAATGCAGTTCTTAAAACAAGAAATGAAATCAAGAACTCTACAAATAATCTCATTTGGCAAACACGTTCCATCTAATACTTTCATTTAGATCCATTATAATGTTGAAAAGCATTCAAATATTGTATCTTAGACTTAAAAGCAAATATTGTGGTGACTCAGCGTGACCAACAAGGAAAGGATAAAGCTAGAATATTTGCCAGTCCTAAACCAAAGAATAGGGGTAGAAGAAGAAACACAATGCAACAAATGTCAATAAAAATAGTTCAAATATACTTAATACTTAACATGACAGGATGATTCCAAATCCTTAGATGGAGAATTCTTTTAATCCTCCAAACCACACTTTAAGAAAGATATTATTGTCAACTAGAGCATACATATATAAAGGCACTAAAACAGAAGTTATCACCTACCCAAGGACACCCAGGTAGCAAGCTGCACACATAGGACTTAGATCAGACACACACCAGAATCCATACTCTTCATCATTATTCCAATCTCAAAATGCTTCCAGCTTCTTCATGCAGGAAAATGTGAAAGTTGACAGGAAAAGCAGTTCCACAAATCATCTAGATGATTATGGGCCTGAATACAATTAAATTAAAATGCTGCAGGCAGTAGAAAACCAGAGCACCTGGTCCTACCCCCAGCCTCGGCTCATGGCAATCAAGAATTCCCTTAAGTCTAATGGCTCAGGACTGTGACGGAAAAGGGTTTTGAAACCACCATGAACAATCTCATTGTGAACAGGCAAGAGCTCAAGAGATTCCCAAAAGTTAGATCCCAAGACTAAATTAGCCATGGGCATGTAAAACATAATGTTCTCAGGCAGTAAGTGCCCTTCACAAAAATATCTCCAAACAAAACTCTAGTGTAACAGATTTGCGAGTAGAAAAATTGTTCTCTGGTGAAGCCCCAAAGAATCAGAAAGACTGCATGGGTGTTCATGGGCAACACATGTAGTTAATTGTGAGTGAGCATTTGAGCACTAGAATGTTCTCAGAATCAAGTTCCAAACTGGTCCCTGAGCTTGGTGCATGGGGTTCCAGGAACAGTAAGGAGAATAATCCTAAAAATTATAGTAAGGTACTTGGATGAAATTACTGTTCATTGTTGCACTTCAGAGGAAAGTAGAAGTAATTCTATTGAGAATAGCAGGTGCAGAGAGGGCCTCCTGCCCATCGCTTGTTAACCACAGAATTTCTACAATTATTTGTGATGCCAGAAGTTCACATTTTATCTCCAAAATCGTCTTATTCCTTACTTCTGTATTGGTTTAGTACTGTCCTACAGAAGGCCTGTTCAGATTGAAAATAAAACACTTAGCACTTCCTTAACTCCACTTTGGAATACACTGCAAAGGCTCTAGTTCCATCTACAGTCTCCTAAGCTCTCTGGCCACCTGTAAACCTGTAAGAGAAAATTACAGGCCACTGTCTACACAGGAGAGGGATTTGCTTTTTAACATCACTTGCGAGCTATGGAAACACTGAAGAACAACATTTCGGTTGTCTGAAGTTAGGACAACAGGCATGCTGCCTTCGCTTACCTGCACTTGGAGGAATCTCTTTCCCAAAGGCCCTGGCTCCTGAAGGTGACGAATATGGTAAGGACGGACCAGGATGCTGTCTGCTAAATGGCTGGGGCTTCTCTTCTAGAAATTATCCAAGACCAGGAACTACACTGCTTCTTCACTTGCAAGGGCTGAAATGAAACACACACACACACAGAGCGTACTTGTAAGAGTGACTCAGCTACCTGAGAAACTTACAGCCAGGAAAACATTGTAGGAAAACACTGAGTAAACTCACTTCTGATCTCAAAAAAAAAGCTTGATAGGATAATGTAATTACCGAACGAAATCCAGCAGCCAGACCCACAGCACATATTACATTACTGTCATTCATGACTGGTTTTCCAAAGGATCCAGCCCGGTCTCCTTGAAAGAAATAACATATCCAGCTCAATGAATCCAAAGCACCCTGGTAATAAAAGAACCATCTGTCCTATTTTCCAGCGTCTCTCCACATACACACAGCTTTATTGTTAAAATGCAGAGGTGAGAGAAGGAGTCAGTGCTCTGAAAACCCTCAGAAGAGGAAGGAAAGAGGGGACAGGGAGGATGAGAATGAGGTCAGAGAGAGCAAAAACATGTAGAAGAGAGTGAAAAGAAGGAAGCGTGGGTGAATTATCAGAATGGGTTGTGGATCATTTCCTCAAAAAAAAAAAAAAAAAAAATTCAAACTGCTCCTGCCCCAGCTGCTGCAGTGCTTATAAACTAATCAACCCTAACACAAAACCCATCAAGAAAACCTGCAACTTGTCTGGGTTATCTGACATTTTTTTTAATTCTAAGGAAGCAAATTTTTTTAAAAAGATGATTTTTTATTTCTAAAGGCATTTGTGAAGAGTATTGTCCTTTAGTAGGGAAATAATGTTTAATTATTATGAAAATCATATAGTAACACAAATTGATTCTACCCAGTAAAGACAGAAAATGTTGAACACATTTAGATTTGTCTATTAGCTGAATGGGTGTGGTACACATTACTGAACGGTTGATTTGCTAAATTGAGGATTACAGGGGATTTTTCTTAAAACATAAATTTGTAGAGAACAGAAAACACTGATTTTCATATGTGTCTATATTTACTTTACCTTTAAAGTACTAAATAACTGA